GTTGTATATGGCCTTTATTATGTTGAGGTAGGTTCCCTCTCTGCCCACTTTCTGGAGAGTTTTTATCATAAGTGGGTGTTGAATTTTGTCAAAAGCGTTTTCTGCATCTATTGAGATGATCATAGGGTTTTTATTCTTCAGTTTGTTAATATGGTGTATCACATTGATTGATTTGCATATATGGAAGAATCCTTGCATCTCTGGGATAAATCCCACTTGATCATGGTGTATGATCCTTTTAATGTGTTGTTGGATTCTGTTTGCTAGTATTTTGTTGAGCATTTTTGCATGTATATTCATGAGTGATATTGGTCTGTGATTTTCTTTTTTTGTAATATCTTTGTCTGGCTTTGGTATCAGGGTGGCCTCATAGAATGAGTTTGGGAATGTTCCTTCCTCTGCAATTTTTTGGAAGAGTTTGAGAAGGACGGGTGTTAGCTCTTCTCTAAATGTTTGATAGAATTCACCTGTGAACTCATCCAGTCCTGGACTTTTGTTTGTTGGAAGATTTTTTTTTTTAAAATAAATTTATTTTTATTTATTTATTTTTGGCTGTGTTGGGTCTTCATTGCTGCGCCCGGGCTTTCTCTACTTGTGGCGAGCGGGGGCTACTCTCCTTTGCGGTGTGCGGGCTTCTCATTGCAATGGCTTCTCTTGTTGTGGAGCACGGGCTCTAGGCGTGCAGGCTTCAGTAGTTGTGGTGCACCGGCTTAGTTGCTCTGCGGCATGTGGGATCTTCCCAGACCAGGGCTCGAACCCGTGTCCTCTGCACTGGCAGACAGATTCTTAACCACTGAGTCACCAGGGAAGCCCTGTCGGAAGTTTTTTAATCAGAGTTTCAATTTCCTTACTTGTGATTGGTCTGTTCATATTTTCTATTTCTTCCTGGTTCAGTCTGGGAAGCTTATACCTTTCTAAGAATTTGTCCATTTCTTCCAGGTTGTCCATTTTATTGGCATAGAGTTGCTTATAGTAGTCTTTTAGGATGCTTTGTATTTCTGTGGTGTCTGTTGTAACTTCTCCTTTTTCATTTCTAATTTTATTGATTTGAGTCCTCTCCCTCTTTTTCTTGATGAGTTTGGCTAATGGTTTATCAATTTTGTTTATCTTCTCAAAAGAACCAGCTTTTAGTTTTATTGACCTTTGCTATTGTTTTCTTTGTTTCTGTTTCATTTATTTCTGCTCTGATATTTATGATTTCTTTCCTTCTGCTAACTTTGGGTTTTGTTTGCTCTTCTTTCTCTAGTTCCTTTAGGTGTAAGGTTAGATCGTTTATTTGAGATTTTTCTTGTTTCTTGAGGTAAGCTTGTATTGCTATAAACTTCCCTTTTAGAACTGCTTTTGCTGCATCCCATAGGTTTTGGATCATCGTGTTTTTGTTGTAATTTGTCTCTAGGTATTTTTTGATTTCCTCTTTGATTTCTTCAGTGATCTCTTGGTTATTTAGTAACGTATCGTTTAGCCTCTCTGTGTTTGTGTTTTTTACGTTTTTTTCCCTGTAATTCATTTCTAATCTCATAGATTATTTAAAAAATAATCTCTGTATCTTTATTATTATTATTATATATATATATTTTTTTTTTTTTGCGGTACGCGGGTCTCTCACTGTTGTGGCCTATCCCATTGCGGAGCACAGGCTCCGGACGCGCAGACTCAGCAGCCACGGCTCATGGGCCCAGCCGCTCTGCAGCATGTGGGATCTTCCTGGACCGGGGCACAAACCTGTGTCCCTTGTATCGGCAGGCAGACTCTCAACCACTGCGCCACCAGGGAAACCCTCTGTATCTTTATTGATATTGTTTATTTGATGTGATATTGTTAACATGTCTACTTTTACTCCTTTAAGCATGGTTTCCTTCTCTGAACGTATTTATAAGACTTTGATGTCTTTGTTAAATCTGACATCTGATCACTCACCATCACAGGCAGTTTCTATTGCCAGCTTTTTTCCTGGTATATAGATATACTTTCTCATAATTTTTTTACATGTCTCATAATTTTTTGTTGGAAACTAGACTTTTTTGCTAATGCACTGTGGCAATTCTGGGTTCTGGTCCTCCCTCCACCCCCACTCATTATTATTATTTGTTTTGTGGCTAGCTAGATTAATTTAGTGAACTTCCCCGCCTCTCCCCAATAGTGTGAAGCCTCTGCTGGGGCTTCTCTGGGGATGCAGCATTGGGTATGCTCACAGTCACCCTGGGCTGACAGTGGTTTGGGCTGGGCTCTCCTTGACTGTCTTGTTCCACATTTAGCTGTTAAACTCCACTAGTTGCTAACTGGATTACTCTCTTCTCAGAAGAACCCTTGGGCATAAAATGTTCCAAAAGCCTGATCCAATCAAACTCAAGCTCTTTTGAAGAGGCGCTTCCTGAGGTTTATATTTGAGATTTGTTCTGACCCTAGGCAGACTCCTTCTAGCTTGGTTCTCTGAGACAAAGAAGCAGAGTGCAGTGGAGCCTGTGTCTCCAGTGAATCTACCAGTTAACCCCTTGCCTTTCACTGCAACATCCACTGTTTTTGAAAGTGCCCTTAGGGTTAAACTCCTCACTCTCCACAGTCTGTTGCAAATGAAGTCAGTTCCTTTGGGAAGAGGTCTGCAGCTCTCTCTATTACAATCTGTTTCTCCCACCTCTGCTTCAAGACAGAAGTCCCAGAGTCACAGCTCTGGAGCTGGGAACAATGGTGCCTGCTTTATGAATTGAGCCCTTGGGGGAGGGGCAGTAGCCTCAGGTCTTCTTGGCTTGCCTCTCCTGGTGGGGTGGAACCTCTGCCTTTCAGAGTGGCAGCCAGGGCCCTAGTAGTCTCTGTAGCACTGTGTAGTTTCCATCCCAGAAGTCAGGGCTAGGCATAAGAAGGGAGCCACCTCACCTCTCAGCTGTGTTTGTCCGTAGCTTAGCCTTTGCAACAGGTAGCTGGAGCCAGGATGAGAATTGTTGATATTGTGTACTTCCTGGGAAGGCAGCCCACTGACTGTCAGCTGATGGGGAGAGAGGGAGGCCTGTGTTCTTTGCTGCCTTCATCTGAAGTAGTGTTTCTGTCTGGCTGAGCTAGGAGTTGGGAGAGAGTGGGTCATGGTGCAAGTACCGCAGACTCTCTGTTCTTACTGAGTTTTAGCAGATTTTCTTAAAGAAATGTTATCAAAAATAGTGTTGAAAAAGTAAGGTAGCAATGTCAGGGCAGGAAAAAAAAAAAGTAAGGTTTTTTAAATCAGCAAAGTGTAATTAGACATTCAGGGGGCAGAAAATGTACCAAATTCCCAACTGTTTGCTTCTGACTTGGGAAAGAGTTGTTATGAAAAGCGTGATTGACAAACTTCCGTTCTCTGAGTGGGCAGTACAGGATGTTGGTTGAACTGGAAAATGCCCTGAGGCAATGTTGATGGAGTGATGGGGTATTATTTCTTATGTACAAATAAGACTTAAGGGAAATTGATAGCTATTTGCAGACGTTTGTCTGTCATGTGAAAAAGACTTAGATTTATTCTGCATTACTCCAGAGAGCAGACTCATGAATCATGAGCAAAAAGTACAATGAAGTATATACTTTGGCACAAAATATAGGAGGATTTCAGAGGTTCTTGAAAGAGGAATAGGCCATTTCAGGAGGCAGTGAATCTGTCCTTGATGCTGGCTGAGTTTCTGCTGAAGAGGACTGGTGATTGGTTTCTGGGTACCGTGAGGTGATACAGCCACTGAGATTTTCGACAGCATCAGTGGTTGCTGGTTCTGACTGCATCAGAATTACAAAAATATGCGAATTGGTTGGCTTTACCTTTGGGTCTTTTGATTCCTTGAGCGTGGGGCTGGGGCATCTACATTTTTACGGGTCCTCCAGGTGATGCCGCCAGGTTTGAGATCTGCTGCCAGGTTTGATCTTGATAGTGCTTTCCAAAATGTGTCATTTCCTGTGGAGAAAAACAGTTCATTTGTGCTCAACTTTGCCTACTCAGTCCCCCATCTTTCTCTCTTAGCTGCCTCCTGTACCTCTCTCCTACCCTAGCACAGGTGCATTTTGAGAGAAATGCTGGTACTACCCATCATTGGGCAAAAAATGTTAAAGGATCTATTATGTTCGGTAGTGTTGAGGGTACTCATTTGGAGAGCTGTCTGGTAACATCAGTGACAGTTTAAACTGTTTTTACTTGTATAGCATCAGTTCCAGTTTTAGAGATTCCTACTGAAGAGCCATTCTTTTTTGGGACTGTTCGGCATTTTGTTTGTTTTGATCCATCCATGCTCATGTATTGTTTCTATTAAACATATTTTAAGTCTGGTTAGATTTGGTTTTTGTTTGCTTTTAAGAGCCATAAGATGTCTCAAAATTAGAGTGTATCTTTCTTCTGGCCCAGAAAGGCCAAGGGATTCCCCTAGAAATAATCAAGCTTTTGAGAACACTAAAGTATTCAGGACTCATATATTTACACTTTATTTTAGTTGATAATTTTAAGGCATAGGAAAAACAGAATTATTGATTAAAACCAGCTTAGTGCTCACTACTAGAAGGCACAGCCTGGTTAACTCCCTTTCATGAAAGACTGATAGAAAACTGTGCCTGGTATCTTTCCAGCTGCCCACCTCAGCTCTCCCTTCACAAATCTTGTCCTTGCTACTTTCATTGGAAAGTAGCATATCTTGTCCTTTATTACCTCCTTGGATTAAAAACTTAGTGATTCTTTTGTTTACTTCTTTCTCTTTATGGTTGTATATTGGTGTATATGTCAATGCCAGGTGTAACAAATTTGCAGTTTCATAATGGTAGATCAAATAAAAGTGTATTGATGTACTTAAGTTGTTTTAAAATAATCTTGTGACAAAAAAATTACGTAAAAGCAGACCAGCTGGGAGAGTAGTATGTAAAAGGATTGAAGAAGGAAATCTGAATTGTTATAAATGGAGTTGAAAGAAACATGAATGTTCTGGCTGTACTTAATGCATTATTGCCCCTTTGTTTCCTGTACATATTTCCTCATGAACTCGTTTGCCTTCCTTTTTTGTTAGCTTCCCTCTTCTTCAACATGGGGCCAGCAGTCCAATACGACAGCATGTCAGTCCCAGGCCACGCTATCATTGGCTGAAATCCAAAAACTAGAAGAGGAACGAGAACGGCAACTTCGAGAGGAGGTAAATTTTAAAAGTAACAGTGATCTAGACAATCAGTGAATAGCTAGTGTGCATCATGGATGAGTGGCTACTAAAGATAACTATTATTGTCAGAACTGCTGTGTGTCTGAATTGGATATGTGTTATTCACCTCTTTATCCTGTAATATGGTCTCTAGCAAGTATGAAGGATCTCATAGGAATAACATTAAGATTGGGTACATAAATGTTCAGTTACCTTAAACATTTTAACCATAGCTCTTGAGAGAATAGCTCATAAATAAAAGTTACTTGGGTGTTTCAGAATTGGGGGTGAGTTTTGTGCAGATATCCTTTTGTAAATTTGATGCTTAGAATGTAGAATACTTTTTTCCCTAAAGGGTATTGGGTTTTCTGACTAACCTAGAAAAACTTAAAGTATGACAGAAATAACGCCTCTCTGCCTGTAAGTCTATATCCTACAGTTCCTCATTAGGATAGGAAGGATACAGAAGAGTGAAAGGGGTTGGGGAGGGGGCAGCAGAACACAGTTCTTGATAGAAGAGAGAAAATAAGGAAAATGGTTTGGCTCAGCATGCCATTAGGTGCCATATTCACCCACCCATCCATCCATCTGTCCATTACATAGTTGCTACTCAGTTACAGTTTTAGTCTGGGGATATAGCTGAGTCTAAAACAGACAAAATTCTCTGCCTTCATAAAGCTTACCTTTGGTTGAGGGGACATGGACAATAAAAATTAAGTAAAACATGGAGTTCTAGAAGGCAATATGTGTCAGAAAGAACAATAAAGTGAGGAGAGGCATAGAGAGAGGGTTGGGAGTTGGGGATAGTATTGGTGGTAGTAGTGATTGTCTAGTTTTAGGTAGTGCTATCTGGGAAGGCCTCTCTGAAAAGGTGGCATGAGGTAGCAGAGTCTTGAAGAAAGTGATTTATGTGGATATAATTTGAGGCAGAGCAGTCAAGTTGTTCGCGAATGCAAGCTGTCATTCTGGTCTCGGTGGTGTGGTTCACTAAAGGCCCCGGGAATTGTCTGTACAAGTTTACCATGTAGTGTGCATGATGTCATCCAGTAGGTTAAAATGTTGCTTCACCTTTAAAAATTACCTTATTTCCCACCCTCTTAAAAGAAAAAAAATTGACTGAACTTTCTCTGAAATCATCTCTCTTTTCTAAAAGTTTAACAGCTGAATGCAGAGCAGAGTATATCTTCCCCCTTCAAGGCTAGAAATTGTTCCAGTAATTTTGGTCTCTGCTTAAAAATAATAATAGTGGTCATCAGAGTTGAAATCACAGGTCTTTTCTTGTTCATATTTTTTTTGTCATTTAGAAGTTAATAATTGCCTTGTGTTTTTATTTGATTAATTTTCTTTGAACTGTTAAGTCTTCCTACACTCTTCAAAAGGTATAAAATGCCACTCCATACATATTTCTCGCATAGGGAAAACCTATGACAATTCTGTTTCATTCTTTCCCTGGAGGTGTCCTTTCCAGGACCCTGTAATCTGTTCAGATCTGAACGCGCTTAGCTTGCTGCACAGGTGCCCTGTTTTCTCAAATTCTTGTCATCTGCATGTTGTCCTCCTGGACTGATTTTGGTTTTCTCTCCTGCTTTCCATCTCTTATCTTTTCTGATGGGGTATTTCTTCAGTCCTATCTTTCAGTCCTTCTATTGAACTTCTAATGTATGTTCTCTTATTTTGAAGTTCTGAGTCCATATGTTGTTACTCTGAGTGTTTCTTTTTATAGCCTCTTATTCTTGTTTTACTGACTGCACTACCTTACCTCTAAAAATATTACTTACTGATAGCATTTTAAAAAGCTAGCTCCTATTTTCCCTTGTCTTGTTTCTGTTTCCACAGAATTTTGTTTGATTTGGTCTTTGGCTTTCATCTTAGAAGCTCTGTCAAGTGTTTGTTGATCCTGGGCTATTCATTCATATTTAGGAATAAGGCACAGAAAAGCTGTTTGGAGGTTCTGGTATATACAGCACCTTGCTGGGCTTTTCCGTAATGGTCTCTGTAATGGTCTGTTCCGTTGGTGTCCCACCATCTGTTGGTATCTGTAGGTGTATTCTCTTGTCCTGGGTCAGCTTTCCTATAGACTAATCCGCTAATCTGGTTCAGCCTCTTTAAAAAGGAAAGTTTTAATTTTCTTCTGGGGAGAGAGGGATAGCTGTTAACTGCTTTGGGTTGGGGAGGCAGTCAGGGTCTCCGTGCTGCTTTTTACAGACCCTCAGCCTGTCTTCTTCTATGTGAGATACCTCTACCTCTAATTCCTGAGCTTTCTCTGTGAATTGGCCTGTTTCTGAGCTTCCTTTACTTAGGTTTCAACTTACTGTCTTTATCTGCCTGCTTTCCAGCTTTTAAAGTCTATTTTATTCTCTTTGTCCTTAAGGTTGATGATTTAGAAAAAAAATTTTTTCTGTCATTTTGGTAGGGCTTTGGAAGTAAACATATATTTCGCTTTTATGCTTAACCAAAAGCCCTACTTAATTTTTAAGAAGTAATTCTTAATTTCTTTTTATTCTCCTGTTAGTACTTCTGGCAGTTTACGTCTTTATTTGCAGTAGAGGAGTTAACTCTGTCATGGTGTTTAATTTCATATAGCTGCTCTGTATTTACATTCCATTTAGTATACTGGACATTTGTAACTATTTTTTTAAACAACGGAATCCTGAGTTGCCTTCTGTTTCTGTGCCTGCAGCAGAGGCGCCAGCAGAGGGAATTGATGAAAGCTCTCCAGCAGCAGCAACAGCAGCAACAGCAGAAACTCTCAGGGTGGGGGAATGTCAGCAAACCCGCAGGTACTGCAAAGTCCCTTCTGGAGATACAACAGGAAGAAGCCAGGCAAATGCAGAAGCAGCAGCAGCAGCAGCAGCAGCACCAGCAACCCAGCAGAGCCCGGAATAATCCGGTGGGTTCATTTTCCTAAGCAATCACTGTGTGGACTGGTGTTATAAGTTAAGTTATCTTTCCTAACTTTTGTGGACTCCCTTTTTATCTTTTTAATATTGTTAACTGTAATTATTTGTCTCCTTTTCTTTAACAGCATTCCAACCTGCACACCAGCCTTGGGAATTCTGTCTGGGGCTCTATAAATGCTGGTCCCCCTAACCAGTGGGCATCTGACCTAGTCAGTAGTATCTGGAGTAATGCTGACACTAAAAATTCCAACATGGGATTCTGGGATGATGCAGTGAAAGAGGTGGGACCCAGGAATTCAACAAACAAAAATAAAAACAACGCCAGTCTCAGGTAGGGCTCAAAATGATCAACCTATGCTCTTTGGTGGGTTGGGGGAAGCGGCGTGTGAGGAGTAGGATATGGGGTGGCCAGAGAAAGGTAGTTATTTAGTTTTTACTTATTTTCACCTGTATCCTACCACGTGAGGTCATAGTTTGATGATTGCTTTTCTTCCCTGTGGAAACACATCTATATTATACTAGGAGCTCCTTTGGTTGCTGGACACTTAGTCCATTGCCTGTCACATGGTAACCACTTACTTAATATTTTTGTTATTGCTGTGGAATATTTCACCAAGGTATTCTCTAGATTTTAGCGTTTTTCTCTAAATTTATATTTTTAAGCTACTTATACTATGAGTATTATAAACACTAAAACCATTTTATTTTTATGATAAATTAGTTACATTTTACATTCACCTTTCTTTCCTTAGTATACAGTTTTATTGAACGAACATGGGTTTTAATGTTAAATACATCAACTCAAATCCCAGCACTACCACTTATTAGCTGTGTGACCTTGGGCAAGAGGGAACCTCTTTGAGCCTCAGTTCCCTCATCTGTAAAATGAAGATAATAACTTCATGGGTGTGGTTCTAAAGGTTAAATGAATACATGTGAAGTAGTTAGTAAAGTGCCTGGCACATAGTAACTACTTAATAAATGGTAGTGTTGTCAGAATATTTCTTCTTGATTGAGGGCTTAATGTGTTATGAATAGGACACTAAATGTCAGTTTATTGAGCATTTTTGCCAGGCACTGTGCTCTAGGCCTTTGCATATAGTATCATTCCTTTTGATAACCCAAAGAAGTATTAGTACCATTTTACAGATGAGGAAACTGAGGCTTAGCAAAATTTAAAGTCTTACTGAAGGACACATAGGGGAGCATTTAATAATTTCTCTGAAAAGAAGCCCTGTATTCACAAACTAGAATGTATTAACTGAGGCTAGATTTTAAGGAGTATTGAGTAACCCCTCCCCACCCCACCCCCAGTATTTCAGTTTTTTTGTTTCGGGTTTGTTGTTTGTTTGTTTTCATTTTTGGAGCCAAGAATTGGATTGCTGGACAGCTATCCAGTGTTGCCAAGACATTGTCTATTTATGGTGTTAGAGTATAATCATATAGTAACGGTTTCTGGGAATATAATATCGCCCTATTGTTTTGCTTTAGTAAATCTGTAGGTGTGTCTAACCGGCAGAATAAGAAAGTAGAAGAAGAAGAAAAATTGCTGAAGCTCTTTCAGGGAGTAAATAAAGCCCAAGATGGATTTACCCAGTGGTGTGAACAGATGCTTCATGCCCTTAATACGGCAAATAACTTGGATGGTAAGAATTGGGGAGGGAAACCCAGCATGTGGAATGGCAGAGCAGGACCCACAAAGAGTTAGAAAATTGGAATGATGATGGGCCAACACTCAGGAGGTGAAATCTGATGGAGGTCAAGTCCTGCACCTACCATAGGAACTTGACTCTTTAATAGTATTATAGAAAAGTTCTATAATACTATGCTGAAATAGGTTATCAGTGGTTACCAAAAAGTAGATGCTATCTTAGGCTGTCTTATGATGTACAGAGCAGAAGAGGTCATACTTCCATACTGCTCATTTTATGGGGGGCATTGCCAGATGGACAAAGGAGAGTAACTGTTATAGTGGGGACAGAGGTCAGCCTGGGCAAGAGAAGTCTGAGGTGATGTGAGGTTTTTCCCTTCCTGCCTTTGGGGGCAGGGGTGGGAATCATGTGACAGAGCAAGTAGACTTATTCTGTGTAGGATAAAGCTAAGACCCATAATGTATGCAAGTGAAAAGATTTCAGCTCAATTTGAAGAAAAACTTGCTAATTGTTAGTTGTTCACAAAGAAGAATTATCAGCCTTAGATGGAAGTGAGTCTTTCCCTTACCCTCCAGCTTGGTGTGGAAGGGATTCCCATAACTCATGGGCTTTGTTGAACTAGTCCACCTCTGATGTCTTTTCTAAAACCAAGAATCTTTTAAAAACAGAGCAGTAAAGGAATTGAAGGGTTCCTTTGTAGCATTGTAACAATAGCTAATGGTCCGCTCGAGCCAGAGAAAAGAGTAGTGAAAAATAGCAATGGCTACCATCCATTAAGCACCTACCATGTACTAGGCACTTTCTAGGGGTTAACATGTGTTATCCTAGGTATCTAATTTTTGCAGTAATTTTATGACATACGTTTACAATGTAGGTGATGTTATCCCCATTTTATAAATTAGGAAACGGAGGCTCAGAATGGTTAAGTAACTCATCAAGGTCACACAGTCAGCAAATTTCAGAATCAGGTTTTAAACCCATGTCTGTCTAACTCTGATACTTGTGCTTTTCTCCTGCACCACACTGCTTCGTGTTCCGTTTTTCTTGTAAACTTAGGATATCTCAGTGAAGTGAAAGGAGGCTATGCCTATATCTTCAGTATCTGTTGTGGTGCCTGCCCACATTATCACACTTAATAAATACTGATTGAATTTAAGGAAAAAAGAAATGAATCCCCAGATGACTTTAGCCTTAGACAAACAGTTGTTTCGATCAACATGACTTTTAGTTTCTACCAAAATAACGTTTAGTGAAACTAAACATGCATGGTATCTTTGTCTCTGTGCTATTTCACATAATTTGGGGCATTGCAGTGATAGTGGGTCCCCCCCACTACTACTCCAGAGGAGACTGAAGAATATTTAACATAATAGCTACATGCCTTTCAAGTCTCCATCATTAATGTCTGTATTGGGTGTTAAAATATATTAAAAACTGAAACTGATCTCTTCTGTGTGATATTTCATTGTTACTCTTTATGTCTTGTTTCCTCTCATATTACAGTTCCCACATTTGTTTCTTTCCTGAAAGAAGTAGAATCTCCTTATGAGGTCCATGATTACATTAGGGCCTATTTAGGAGATACCTCTGAGGCCAAGGAGTTTGCCAAGCAGTTCCTCGAGCGCCGCGCCAAACAGAAAGCCAGCCAGCGGCAGCCGCAGCAGCAACAGCCGCCGCCGCAGCAGCAGGTATGCGGCAGCAGAGCGAGTGCAGTGCCCTTGTGAGTGTTAATGTCTTGAAATGTTGAGCAGCCAGAGAAGTGAAAATTAGAACAATGTTCCCATTTTTGTACATCACGTGACTGGAACCTTTTAAAACATGGTGGACTTGATATTTTCAAATTCAGTGTCCAGAGACCTTTGTGAATTTCCCAGTTAGCAAATATAGCCATTCATTCTCTGTTAGGCATATCAGCCCCATTGTTCTTGGTTCATATAAGTGCCTCTGTCAAATTGCAAATTCCAACTTGGCATAGACCATAAATTTGGTTTTAAATAGTTAAAACTTACAAATGTTAGCTCTCTGCTGCTCAGGATCCACTGGTACCCAGTACTGACAGTACTATAACCTGTCGGACATTTCACACATTGTTGATGGGCCCCGGAGAACAAAGGAACCTTCCGCTTTGAGTAGGTGAGAGGTGTGGATTGCCAAAGAGCCAGTTCCTAGTGGATGATACAGAGTCCATGTATATCTGGAGAGGTTTTGACCGCTGTGCTGCCACAGCAGTGTGGACACCTGGAGTTCCCAGGACGGGCCTTGTGGAGACAGAGCTCAAGTGGGATGTCTGAATCTAAAGGAAGGGAAAGCGTGCCTCAGTGGACTGTTCTTAGTTTCGCTATTACCAGAATCCACGGTAGACTTTCTGTTTTTAAACTCATCCTTGGTAAGGTGAGACCCAGGTCAACCATTTCCTTGGAGTGGGCCAAGCCTGTATCCACCATGTAACCTCAGTTGTGCTATCTCGTTTTACAGGACTCTGTGTGGGGGATGAACCACAGTGCACTCCATTCAGTATTTCAGACCAATCAAAGCAACAACCAACAGTCTAATTTTGAAGCTGTACAAAGTGGCAAGAAGAAGAAAAAGCAGAAGATGGTCCGAGCAGATCCCAGTTTATTAGGTGAGCACAGGCCTAATGTCTTAGCTGGGTGTTGGTGGGAGATTATATGTGAGTCCCATGGTGGAATGTTTTTCATGAAGGGAAATACTTCTTATAAAAAATAAATGTTTTTGACCAGTTCAAAGTTAGTAGTCAGTATTTACTGGGCATCTCAGTGCAGGAGCTATGCCTCATGTGCTACAGGGAATAAGAAAAGTAATACATTGTGCGGTGCCTTCAGTTTTAAAGTCTTTTTTCATATCTAATATGAATTTCTTTAAAAAAAACTTTCAGTTTAGTTGGAAAATAATACTAATGGACAACAGAAAAAGTTATTTAAAATGCTGATTTGTGTGGAAGCAGACCATAAATCCAGTCAGATGTTCACAGAAAAGAACCAGTATTTGTTGACATTCACTGTGTGTATAATACAATTCTCATAATTATCCTGCATTATGAGGTGATGTTCCAGCTTTACCAATGAGTAAACCAAGGCCTAGAGGATTTAAGACATTTCCCAGAGTCACACAGCATTTAGCAGTGCAGCTGGGGTTTCAGAGCAGGCCTGTTTTCACTCTTCTGTGTTACCCATGGCTACTCCTATCTAACATTGAGGACCAGTGTCTTCATACAGAGCAGCCAGCCTTGGGGAAAAGGTGACACCTGAATTGGGGCTTTGAAAGACAGGAAGGATAGGGAATGGTGTGTCTGGAATAATAAACAGCATAGGCAAAGCTGATGGGCCACCTGTGTTTCTTAAGTTGGCCTAACAACCTCACAGGCAATGATGAAATTAATATTATTCTCTATTTATGAATGTAGAATAGGCTATTATAAAACTGTGTTGTCTGGAATAGAATGGTTATATTGGCCAAGGTGGCAGATTGGGAAATCAGGCAGAAAAGTTAGGAGGCTGCAGTATAGACCAGATGAAAGGTACTGGTGGCCTGGAATAGGGTTTTGGCAGTGGAGATGGAGAGGAGTTAGATGGATTTTAGAAATTTAGGGGATGGACAAGGAGAATGGAAAGGTTTGGGCAGCCGGATGAAAAGAGTTGCCCTTTTGCTAAAATGATGAGCCCTGGAAAGTGGAGCAGGCTTACAGGGATTCGGAATGATGCAGTGTTTAAGTGTTGGGTAGATTGAATGTGAAGTGACTAGGAGGCATGATACAGAGATGAAAGAGCTGATAGCACAGCAAGAGGTAGATTGCTCTGCCCTTGGTAGTATCCATACTTCAGAGGTTTCCTGCGCTGGAGAAATCAAAATATCAGTAACAGAAACCCAGCTTTGAGGATTGCCCTCGGGAACCGGTGCTCTGCAAGCTGGCTTTGGAAACCTAGAGGTCTGGCGAAATTTTGTTTTTTTCTGCATGTCTTGGAAGTTTGTGTTAAGGATGGATGGAACAGTCCAGAATTTTATCCAGTTTTGACAGAGATAGGTGAATGTAGATTTAAGAGTGTTCCTTCAGTTCTGGTTGTGAGTTCTAGCTAAGAATCCCCCGCTATTTAGCTGTGGTACTTGGTGGGGGGAGGGGGGAAAAGGTTCTCAGGGAAAAGGTTCCTCTGAAAATGAGGTAAAGGTTTTTGGATTAAATATCTGACCTGACCCCATCTCCTATTATAGACCTAAGAAAGAAAGGGACTTAAAATCCCCCTTCAAGGGAATGAGACATAGGTCGTTCTAGGAATAGAGTTTTAAGGAATATGTATCTTGAAAGGGAAGAAAAAAAAATTAAATATAAGGGAAGTAAAATTGTTCAACAAAATACTGAAGAAGCTCACTTGGGTGGGCTCTTGCTTGCACCATTTAATGAGAATTTCTGCTCAACTAAACTTTCCTCTGGAAATTCCTCTGATAATTTCTGCCCCTTACCTACTCATATCCATTTATTATTGTTTTTAATTGATATTTGCCTTATTGACTTATCGATTAAGAAAAATTAACAAATATCCATCAGTCACAAGTTCCCCATGCACATAATGGGGAAACAGCTTCAAATTTGACCCCAAAGTATCCATTGAGAAAGTGGTCGTTGATCAAAAGAGAATTTTGCTTCTAAAACAAACCTTCAGAGAGATTCCAGCTTCATTTTAATGATCATGTCCTCCATTGTACTCTTGTGTTTTCTTCTAGTTTTTAGAGCTACCAAGTGCCATTGTGAGCCAGCATCCTGTACTTGGATATGAGAAATACACACACACAATACCATTTTTTCACCAGTCATACTTTCCTTATAGAAACAGTCTCCCAAACCTTAAAGAAATTGTGTGAGTGGGAGTCTGTTGTTCTGAACCTAATATAGTCTTTAGAGCTGGACATATTGGGCTTACATCCTCATTTGTATTGCATGGGGTCTCATTATATCCCAGAGCTCCCCCTTCTGTCCAGTGGGGAGGAGACGTGCCCTCTTTACTGGTTTTTTGGACAGGTAAATGAGACCATGTCTGCTAAAAGCCCAGCCCGGTAATCGGTAATCGTCATATTATAGCAGCGAATACTTAACTGTGTTTGGCCCCAGGCTTCTTTTCCCTTCCTGTCTTTGTATGACTAAAATTGTTTAGTTTGTGTTTTTGTTACATTCCCACTTTTATTTCATGTGGCTCATTATTGTTTTCATCACATTTCATTTGTTCTTGAGACACATGTGAAGCCAGAGAACAACCTGCTTCGGACTAGAGTAATGTTCACTTCATAAACTGTTTGGTCTTTAGGTTTTTACACTTACCTAATTAACTGTTATTTTCAAATATGAACACTAAGCCTTTCATTATTTTCAAGGGAAAAAAATCTTGCAGGTTATAGGAACACAGTTGAGGGGTAGAACTCAGGTTGCGATTTGGAATCCTAGCCTCTCCCAGTCTTGTAAGCAGCTTGTACCACAGCTTCCTTGGTTAATAAATAGGCGTGTTTATTTTTTCAAGTCATGATATTTTGGAATCAAGAATGTAATGTAATTAAGCTATTTTTATTATGTAAGGCATTTTTTTGTTTATTATTGGTACATTTAAAATGTGTATTTGAAAATTTGAACATTAAAGAACAAAAAGGAGGGGGCAGAAAACTCAATATTAACAGAACCGCCTTTAGACTGGAGAGCATCGCCTGTTTACTTTTTGATATTCAAATAGCAGCTGAAACAGTTTGGGATTTCATTTAGGGTGGATGAACTGAAAGCTTTCTGAGAATCACTCATTTCAAAGAGGCCCTGTTAATAGTACTTTTTATCAATCTCTGATCATGGAGTTCATTGAAAAATTACACGTGGCTGATGGCATTAGGTTTCCAAACCTCAGTAGTGTTTGTAAGTGCTGCCTGTTGCCTTCAGTGGCTGTGCTAGTACTGCTTTTTCTAAACCAGATTGCATTTCAGTCAGTTAATATTGCTAAATGAAATCCTTGCCTTTGCTGGTCTACTTAGAGTAGATTGAGTCGAATAAAGTAGTTTAATGTTTTTGTGCCGTCTGCTCTGTGATAGGAAGAACATCTGAGGGCTCTAAGGATCTTGTAGTGGGTCTTCCCTGGAGCCTCCTACCACTGAAGGCAAAATCTCTTGACCAGAACTTTGACAAAGTTTTGGACCCAAAGTATTCCCGATAGCGAATGGGGCTGAAGTATTGGGTTGGCCAAAAAGTTCATTTGGGTTTTTCTATAACATCTTATGGAAAAACCCGAACGAAATTTTTGGCCAACCCAATAGTGCTATTCCCACTCACATTTCACAGTCATTTGGTCGAGTGGTTACAAAGTACTTAGTATGTTACTCCTGTCCTCCCCCTGCCCCACTCTTTTAAGGTACACCTTCTGAATGAACTTCCCCCCTAGCCAGCCTGGCCCTTAAAACACACTTACAACCCAGGCTGTACTCGGGACTCTCTAAGGCAGTGGTTTGCAGTTCTTTTTAAGCAGTGGTGCTGGGTTTATGTGTGTGTGTGTGTGTGTGTGTTTCCTCCCTAATTAAATTATATCAGAACCTTAAGATAAAACATATAAAAATAGAATGTCTAATTGGAAGGGCAAAAAAAACCCATTACATTGACTTTTATCCTTTCTTCTCCCTCCTTTTAGTATCCCTATTTGTGTGCTCAAAAACAGGAGACTAAAATTCCAGCTGCCTGCCTAGAATTTGAGCCACATGGTTGTCTGGGTGTGGTCAGTCACTCGTTGCCAATTTTTCCCTGCAGGGTTTTCAGTCAATGCTTCATCGGAGCGACTCAATATGGGTGAAATCGAGACTTTGGATGACTACTGAGCACCTGCCAGAGCGGACTGGCCTTCCCTCTTTTCTCTGCTGACCATGGATTCTGCACCTTTGGACACGACACTTACTCACCATATACTCTTTATCACTGCAACAAATCACAGAACCGATCATCTCAGGCTTTTTCTTCCAGCCCTTTGTGTCCAAGATTCTTTAAACCATTTTTGTTGGTGAGCATCTCAGACTGTAGATAAGTGGACCAGACCCTGTGTCTTGGGGGTGGCAGTTGGGATTACTCCCCAACAAGGGTGATTTTGGGCAGACGTGTTTACTGTGCCGTGATTTCACCTACTGTCTCCCAGAAAGTGTGTTGGGATCTGCCAATAGCAATTTACTTTCTCTTGTCACTTTTTTCCTTCTATTTTGTTTTTCTTCTCCTTCTCCCCCCCCCAAAAAAAAATGGGCATGGGGTCTGACTGGTGCAATCATGAAGAGAGTTAATGGTAACAGACATTGGCCAGCAACAAAAACGCCCATGGACTGTGATTTGAGTGTCCGACAGAGACAGTGAGAGCTCTTCCAGTCTGAAGGTTGCATTGCCGCTGCTAACTCTGGGATTGCATCAAAGAGGCCCTGAGTGGGATGGAGTTTAGATTGATTGGTTTGATGTTGCACACCCCTCGCCTCTTCTTTCTGAGCATCCTTTCAGAGAAAGGATTCTTGTTTTTTCTTCATTAGATAGTGACTTCCAAGCAAGCTGACTTCTCCCCTGGCATACTCCAACCTGATTGGACAAAGGAAGCCCTGTGGCCTGGGAGAGGGACTTATTTTTAATTTTTCTTTCTTACAAAAACGGATTTTTTCCCATAAATATTTTTACTTCAGAGGACTAGGACCAGTTTGTTTTGGGCCTTTCTGCTGAAAATTTGTCTCGTTTAAGAGGCAGTTAGGATCTTTACCATATGTATGAATATGTGTAATTTCATTTTGGATAGGGATAAACTTCTGCTTCTGATAAAAGCCCGGAATTTCATCTGCTTCCTCAGAGCATTGCGTGTGTGTCTTGCTGTGGCCCCGAAAGGTTTTGTTTAAAGATTCTGGAATGGCAAGTTGCTTGCCTTTTCTGAAAAAAGAACATACAAAACCTGACCATCTTTAAGACCTTCATCCATGGAAACCACTATACAGGAGATTGCAGTGGGATGGAGGGGATGGGAGAGAACAGGAGAGAGAAGCCTGGTTCTGGTTTCTGGTTGTGGCCTCGTAATACCCCTTCACTTCAGATATAAATGTATTCAAGCCCTATTTATAAACAATACTCTTCCTGCCTCTGCCAACCCCCCACAGAACATCACCTGGAATTGCCAATCACACTTTGGTCTGGACCCTTTGGACCGTCCGCCCCTGTGCAAGAAGTGCTGTGGTTCGGGTGGCTCCTGGTAGAGCGCCTTTTCTTTCTGTCATCATTGCCCGAAGAAGGCTGGAGTTGCTCTGAGAGCAGTTTGGTTTTGGATGATTATATTTGGGTTTCTGTTTTTATTCTTTTGGATCACCATTCTCCCTGTCCCTTTTTGCCTCCCTCCCTCTTAAACATGTACAATAACTATACAGAGACTGCTACAGACTTGTACATAGTTTTTGGATCAAATAGCATGAGGAGATGGGGAACCATTAAAAGTTGGGGCTCCTGCTCTCCTTTGCTTTGTAAATTCAAAAGTGGGGGGTGGGGAAGAGGGATAGTTAAAATGTTTACAAAACTTTAAGCTCCCTCGGAACTTTTGCCAGTGTGGAGGAAAATAAAAAGGAACTTAAATAAAACCTGGTGGTATTTTATCTGAGTACACTTCTTGTACTCACCCTTGTCAAGGCTGAGTTTTCCACCAAACCATCTTCTTGGCACCATGGAAAAGCTCCAGACAAGTGAGCACCCAAGACATGGACGCAGCTGTGGCTTTCTCTGGCAGGCTATGGAACGCTGACTTGGTTCTGTATTTGAGAATGTAGAGGTCAAGGTAAACGTGGGTAAGTTGATTAAATGTCTTTCCTCCTCTGCCCCTTTCTGCTGACCTGCAGATCGTCTCCTGTCCTCACAACACAGACACACACCCCTGAAGGTGCCCCCTCCAGAGCCTGCCCACACCTTCCAAGCTAGATTCTATTGTATGCTTGTTCAGGGGAAATTTAAAAATAAAACACAAACATTTGGGGGAGGGGTAGGCAGACTTCAGGGAGCAACGTCGTTTTAGTCATGGAACATTCCATTAGCTTAACCAGGAGCATTGCTTCTACCTGAGGAATTTCCCACATGGTGGAAAGAAACCACTCTTTCCTAAGAATGTTTGTTTCTGTCTCAGTTCTACCAATTTTCACATTCTCATTTGCTCACTCTTTCACTTCGAGCAACCACATTCTTATCTCTTTCTGTGAACTTACTTGCAGATTATCTAAACTCTTCCTGAGTTTTAAAGTATTTGTTTTGTACACTGTTTGCTTCCAGTTGTTTTAAGTCAGAGATTTAAAAAACATACCCAGACAAGGTAGTTTGCTTATGGATACTTTCCCCAAGGTAGTCGGTGTTCTGGTTACTGTTGCTACATAACAAATTACCCGCAAACTGGCTTATAGCAACCCTTGCATTTTATTGGTAATTTTGTGAGTCAGGACTCTGGGGGGAGGGCTCAGCTGGGCGGTTCTTCCATGGTGTCTCCTCTGGTTATGGTCGGAGGTCAGCTGGGGCTGCGATCTTGGGAAGGTTTGATAAGTTGGGCGGCGCGAGGGCTCACTCGTGTGAATGGCAGTTGACGCTGGCTATTGCCGGGGAGCTCAGCTGGGCTGGTGGCTGGAGGAACTACGTGTGCCCTCTCCAGCATGGCAGCTTCAGGGTAGGTGGACTTCTTCTTTGGCAGTTGGCTTCCCCCAGAGAACCGGGCAGAGGCTGCATCACCTCTTCTGACCTGGACTCTGGAGTCACATAGTGTCACTCCTGTGACACTGTGTGAAAGTAGTCACAAGCTCTTTCAGATTCAGGGGGTTGGGGAACATGGTCACCTCCAACATCTCCCTTGATGGAATGAGTGGTAAGGTCACTTTATAGAAGAGCATGTGGGATGAGAGGTACTGTTGTTGCTGTTTTGGGGAAATAGCTGCATAAAATTAGTTTATGCATATATATCAAGGAACTTCAGTTCTTCGTTGGCTCTAAATTGAGGGGTTATTTTTTTCTTTTTAATTTCAGGATAATGGTACTTCAGGCTTTATTTTAAATAATACATATATACAAATATATACACATAAATAGTGTGTGTGCCATTTTCTACACCCTATTTTAAATTGATCAGGTGAAGAAATTGAAGTTTGTTTTATACAAAATGTCCTCTCCATATTATTAATGAAAAAGTCTGTGTATGATTCTGATGTGAAATGAACCTAGTTCTCTCCTGTGCTTCCAGTGTGGGAGGTAGAGCTTCATTAAAAGAGCAGCAGGCATGCACGTTCTAAATAGAGTAAGGTGCAGCTGAGAGCACATTCCAAATGGAAGTTGGCCTCATAGTTAATGGGTTATTTGGGAACAAAAAGAAAAAAGCCCAGCTCTAGAGGATGGCTGTGAGCGCAGGCAATTCCTGATGAAGCCGCAGTGCTTGCTGGGACCGTGGAGAGCCTGGGAACCTTGAGGCAGCCAGATGTGTGATCATTTTACAGACATTGTCAGATGCCCTGAGTATGACGGACCCGCATAGCTTTTGGTAGTGTTGGTTCTGGAAGGGCACCTGGAGCCCCTGAGAGAAGAGTTTCCCTCCAGGGATTCGTCAGTGGGAATGTTTTGCAGCTAAAGTAACAAACACTGCTATGGTTCAGCATATGGGAGAAACAGCACATAGATGTTGGGAAGCAGGAGAAGAGAACTGGGCTCTTCCCTAATTGCAGCAACTGCCCTGCAGCCTAAAAGCTGCAGTTGCCTCCCCTTTCGTTGCTGGCGAAGTGATGACATCATGGGGATGGAACTCACTGTAGCTTCAACACTCAGTTCAGTCCAGCTGGTCTTAAGCAGAGACATCATTTCTTAAAGATTGTTTACTTGTCCCCCCAAATCTAGGAGTGGGGGATTATTTTCCCTTGGTAGCCAGTTGTTTTCTCCTTTGAATGCCTCCTTTAGCATGAGAAGTAGTCCTTGAGGGTCAGTGGGTCATCGTTAGGTTTGGCTGCATATAATAAGATACAAAGTAACAGTGACTTAAACAAGATAGTTTATTTCTCAAGTGAAATCTGGAGGTCATCAGTCCAAGGCTGGTGTGGCTCAGGGACCCAGGTTCTTTCTGTTTTACCCTCCTCGTTGCGGCTTCCATTCTCAAGGTCACTCATGGTCCAAGGTGACTGCTAGAGCACCAACCATCATGCCTGTATTCCAGGCAGGAGGAAGGATTGGGGTGAGGCTCAGGGAGCACACCTCCCTGTTCAGTCAGCCTTCCTTGAGGAGCTCTTTTGGGAGCTCTACCAAACATCTTAAGTCTTTTAAACTGGAACGTGGATACGTAACTATAGTTAGTTCAAGAAAGGCTGGAGAGCTTCCCTGGTGGCGCAGTGGTTGAGAGTCCGCCTGCCGATGCAGGGGACACGGGTTCGTCCCCCGGTCCGGGAAGATCCCACATGCCACAGAGCGGCTGGGCCCGTGAGCCATGGCCGCTGAGCCTGCGCGTCCGGAGCCTGTGCTCTGCAACGGGAGAGGCCACAACAGTGAGAGGCCCGCGTGCTGCAAAAAAAATAAAGGGCTGGAAATTTGGGGGGTTTAGTTGAGTGGTTTGCCACCCCAAATACCATTGGGATTCTGTTTCTAAGAAACACAGGGAATGGATGTTACATTGGCAGCAGCCTCTACCACTGTCATTCTCTTTAGCCTGCTTTGAAGTTGGAAGAGTTTGGAATGGTTGAGTCTGTGCACATCCACCATGGGAAAGGAATCCTAGTGGTTACCCTGACAAGGGGGCTCGGCACAGGCTCTGTTCCATTCTTGTGCAGAGCTGGAAAACGAGTGATTTCCAAGGGCTCAACCTTGCTGTGTCTAGCAACCCCCAATTCTATACAGAATCTAGGTTTTTGGTGTGTGTGTGAGCGTGTGTGTTTTTAAAGGTACCCTATGGCATGAACCTATGAGTGGTTTTGTGGATGGGGGCATTGGAGTCAAGCTGTCAGATTTGAAAGTTGATCCTGCTATTTCCTTTAGGCAAGTATTTATTTCCCCATCTGTGAAATGGGAACTGTGAGGTAGCTGTGATCAGTAACTTAAAATGTAATTGCATAGTGCAATGCCCAGCACATAAATGCTTGATAAATATTTGTAGGCCATTTTGCAAGAGAGAAGGGAGTTTGTGGGCTCATGTGTAGGTGCAATGGAACGTATTAAAAATGGGCAGCCTCCCTCTTAGACATCTGAATATCAGTGTAAAGAAGTACCCCTCAGAGAGGTAATGTGGCATGGGTTCCAGGAGACTGGGTATTAGTACCAGCTTTGTTATTAACCTGTCCTTCCTGTCCTGTCTCTGGGTCTGTTTCCTTGCCTGTCAGATGAGGGGGTTGGCCCAGATCAAATGATGAACTTGAAACAAAAATCAGTCCCTGAGCCCCATGTCCCATGGTTTCTTATTTAGGGTGGGGCCCAGCACTGGAAATTATTTTTTAGGTGCCCTAAGTGATCCTAAATGGACAGCTTGAGTGGGGAGCTACTGGCCTAGCTGATCTGTGAGGTTTCCTTCAGCTCTCACCTCCTGAGTGCATATGTGCAAGTGTGATCTGTGTGTGCATCTGTACATCTTTGCAGCATATTGCTGACACTTGGGGTTTGCAGATTTAGCACTTGTGTTTTAGTGTGAGTCTTTGACAAATACCCGTTGTGGTTTTACTAAACCAGACCCAGGTCAAAATATAAGGCATGGTGAGCCTGAGTTAAGGGAACGAGTCACTGACTTGGATTTTCTGACTTCTTTTGATAACGTCAAGTTAAGCCCTAAGCAGGTCAGGGTCCCATCATGAATCAGAAACCGTCCTAAATATTCAGTCAAAAGAAATGCGGGCGGAGGGCAGGGGAGAAAAAAGAATTGGCGTTGGAAGAGTAGGAAGGTAAGATTACTGAAGGATTAGTAACTAGGGAAATCACTAATACCTTATCTAATGGTCAGTCATCATATCCTTTTCTAGGTGATACTAATATCTCTTCAATTCACTTACAGTCTCACCTGGATAATTAGTATCTTAACGACTAAATTTTATTTTTTTATATATATATATACACACACACACACACAGATATATATGAAAAATTGGTGTATGTATATATACAGCAAGGAATAAAATATACATCAGTTTTTGTTTCTGTTCTTTGTCATGAGGCTGTGGGTGATATTTGTACAACTTCCTTATTTCCCATTTCACGTTCTTTTTGCCTTCCACCAGCCCTTGAGCTGGTGGGTGACTTAAACCTTCATTCCCAAGGGGTTTGAGTCCTTAACAGTATTGAGGTTACTGCAGCTTTCGTCTTTAATTAGCTTTTGCCTGAGTTCAGTTTTTTTTCTTATTAATTGAAAAAACTTCAGCATACATTGAAGTAGACTAGTGTCTTTAGTATGGGCTGGGAAGTCCCACGATCTAGGTGCCGACAGATCAAGTGTCTGGTGAGTCATCCTGGTTTGCACATGGCCATCTTCTTGTTATGTCCTCACATGGCAGAGAAGGAGATCTCAGGTCTCTTTCTATCCCATCTTTTTATCTCTTAAAAATCGTCTTTTTATCCCATTACAAGGAGGACCCCACCCTCATGACCTAATCTAACCCTAACCACCTCCCCAAGGCCCCACCTCTGAATACTATCCCATTGGGACTAGGGCTTCCAACATAAAAATCTTGGGGGACACAACTTTCAGTCACAGCAGCTAATGTAACAAACTCCTACCGTTTTACCAATTTTGTGTTTTTAATCTCACCTTTTTTCCCTTAGAATATTTTAAAACCAATCCTAGATATCGAGCCACTCGTAAATATTTTAATGTGCATGGTAACAGACAAAGATACCTTTAAAAAAAGAACATGTCAATACCACATTAAGAATATTAATAATTTCTTAGTATCTAAACCCAGTCTGTATGATTTTTTCAGATTATCTTAAAAATGTCTTTTTACAAAAGTTTGAATCAGAATCAAAATGAGGTTCACGGATTGCATTTGGTTGCTATGTTTAAGTCTCTTTTAGTCTAACCAGTTTCCCCTCAAAAAAAAGAAAAATTGAAAAAACAAGATCATTTACCCACAGAACATCCCATAATGTGGACTCAGCAAGGAGCGTCCTTATAGTGTCAATTTGTTACTCTCCCCCACATCTTCTGTGAATGAGTAGTCAGGTCTAGAAACTTAATTGGATTCAGATTCTCCCCTCCCCCTCCAAGAATACTTAACTTGCTGTACGTCCTGTTGCATCACAGGCAGCATTGTCTGGTTGTCCCATTTTCACTATGTCAAAATTCATCAGTCCTGTTGCTATCAGGTTGATTCATCCATTATAAAAGTTCTGTTGATCTTTCATGTAGCAGTTTTAACATTCATTGATGATCATTGCCTAGGTCTATTATTTCATTAGTCACTGAAATATAAGTGATTCTGTTTGGGGAGAAGGAGGATTTTTAAATTTTTGAATAATTTCAGACTTAAAACTTGCAAGAACAGTAGAAAAAAACTCCCACATATCTTTCATCCAGATTCTCCAATTGCTAACATTTTACCACATCTGCATTATTTTTTTTTTTTACTCTATAACTACACTCACAATAATGACTCTCAGTAACTATTTTTTATGAATCACTTGAAAGCAAATTGAAGACATTATGTCCCTTATCCCTAAACATTTCAGGGCGTGTTTCCTTGAGACAAGGACATTTACATAACCACAGTACAATTATTAAAGTTAGGAAATAAAGTATATGATGCTATTGGTTAATATCCAGGCTTCATTCATATTTCACCAATTGTTCCACTAATGTCTTTTATAAGAAAAAACAAAAAGGTGCAGGATGCCATCATGATTGCTTTTTGTATTTGGATGTCATGTTTCTTTGAGTCTTCCCTAATCTGGAACAGTTCCTCTATCTTTCATACCTTCAGATTTTTAAAGGACAATTACTTTGTAGAATGCACTCAGTTTGCATTTGTCTGGTATTTTTCTCATGATTTAATTGAGATTATGCAATTGGGCAGGAATACTACAGAAGTGATGTTATGTCCTTGATGCGTCATATCAGGAGGTACATGATGTCAGTTTGAACCATTACTGGTGATGTTAACTTTAATTACTTAAAGATAGTATCTGCCAGGTTTTTCCACTGTAATGATTTTTCTCTTTATGGGAGATACTTTGAGACTATGTAAATATCCAGCTCTCATCAAACTTTTATCCACTAGTTTTAGCAGTCATTGATGATTCTTGCTTGAACTGTTAGTGGTTGTCAAGCTTTCCTGTAATTTATTAGTCAGCATTCTACTATAAGGAAGAGCTTTACACACACACACACACACGCATGCATGCACACACTGTAGGTTATAATTGGATACTGTTGTGCACAATTTGTCCATTTGGAGCCCCTCCAAGTTGACATTTGTGTCCTTTTACCATATCTCTATCGTCCTTTGAGCACTTTCTTAATTTGTCATGAGATATTCTAGGTTCATCATTTACTTTTACTTTTCCAGATTTGGAATTAGCCATTTCTCTAAGGAGCCTGCTGCTTCTGCAAGGGAGGCCTGAGGATTTGTGAGTGGAAGATTCTCAGATTTGTTTGAGTCTGCCCAAATACCCCCATTCCAGATCTCAAGGTCTCACTCCTTCCCATTCAGTGCCATACATTTCACCTGAAAGAATTGACACAGCTGTGAATTCAGTTTGACTGCAATTTTGCAAGCCACACTTATTCGTTACTGAAGTTGGTGTGGCCAGTGCCGCTGCCGCTGCCAGAGACATTGTCAGAAATCTGAATCAGGAAGAGAGGCACTTCTCTCCCGCCTTTCATCTCCCCCCAGTGCGTCCATTGCAGATGCCAACACGGAGTCAGCTGGCAAGACTCTCTCAGGAGTGTGATCTGGGAGTCTGACTCTACATTACATTGAGGGCACAGGAAGGTGAGGACGGGAGATAGAGCAAACCAGCACCAACAAATGAGTGAACAAGTGAGAAGATGCTCGATGTTAATTCTATCCCAGAAATCCCAACTGATTGAATTCCAGTATTAAGTTCCTATCATGTGCTAGGTTCTAGAAATACATTGGTGAACTAAACACAGCCCCAGCTATCTGGGACTTAGTCACAGAGTAGAGACAGACAACCAATGGACACTTCATTTAAATGCACCATATCATATATCTGACAAAGAATTTTTATCTGGGTCACACACCGAAAAAATCCTAAAAATAAATTCAATGTGATAAACCACCCTAATATATCAGCAAAAAAATCTGAGCAGACCCTTCACATAGGAGGATATTCCTGTGGTCAATAAATAGGAAAAGGTGTTCAACTTTATTATTCATGGAAGTACAACCACGATGAGACACCACTACATACCTGTCAGAACGGCTAGAAATAAAAAAGACTGCCAGTGCCAGGTATTGGTGAGGATGTGGAGCAACTGGAGCTCTCACACTGCTGGTGAGTGTAAATGAGAACAAACACTGTGGAAAGCTGCTCGCCAGCATCGACAGAATCTGAACACTGAACTCTGACCTAGCGATCCTATCTTTAGATATATAACCAAGAGAACCTAGTGTATATGTTCACCAAAGGCAGGTACAAGAATACCCACAGGAGCTATATTCATAAAAGTTCAGACCTGGAAATAACCCAAATTGACATAAATAAATGGATAGAAGAATGGATAAATTGTGGCATAGTCATACGACTGAATACTATTCAGCAATAGAAAAGAATGAGCCACTGCTACATGCAACAATGTGGATGAATGTCACAGAATGTTGAGCAGAAGAAGGCAGGCACAGGAGTTCACGTCATATGATTCAGTTTATTTGAAGTTCAAGAGTAGAGGAAGCTAATCTATGGTGATAGAAGACGGCTTGGCACCTTGGGGGTCCTGACTAGGGAGGGGCAGGAAGAATCCTGCTGGTGTGCTGGAAATGTTCTATATTGATTTGGGTGGTGTTTACAAATGTATGAAAGTTCATCAAGCTGTAAACATAAGATTTCACCATATATAGGTCATCCCTCAAAAAATTAACCAAAAAAAAAAAGGAAATGAGAGTTTCATACAAATATAAATGCTAAGAAGAAATTTAAAGCTATGTGATGGGTGAATGGGGGACTGAATGATCAGAGCTGAGACCTGAATGGTGATTAGGAGGTAGCCATGTAATGAGCTGAGAGACTGCTTTCTGGGAGAGGGGACAGCGAGTGAAAAGGCCCTGAGGCAGGATTAAGTTTGGTGTATTGGAGGAACCTTTTCAAGGCCAGCAGACTGAACATAGTGAGCAGGACCAAGGCAAGTCCTTAGTTTGGCTTTTTATTCGAAGAGCAGTGGGAAACCATGAAGGGTTTGAAGTAGGGGGGTGTACTTTCTGAGAGCTTAGACAAGCGAAAGAGAGAGACCTCTGATGAACTTAATTATGTGGCCACGACATCTGGAAGGTGGGGGACTGGGATTTAACTACTGTGCAGGGCTGGAGAGGCAGTGCAGTCAAGGTTTGTTTTGGATACGTTAAGTTGGAGATGCTCATTAGGTGCCCTTGGGGCTGTCCGAGAGGCAGTGGGCGATGGGGCTGAAGTTCTGGGCCAGAACTGGGTTGGAAATGTGTGTCATGAACACACAGGTGGTATTTCAAGTCCCAGGTACCTAGGAGAACAGAGAGCAAGAAGAAGGGACACAGGGCGTTTTATGACATGAGTTTTTCTGGAGAGACTAGAGCTGCCAGAAGATTTGGATGGAAACTGCTTTAAAAGTGCTGCTTTAGGGCTTCCCTGGTGGCGCAGTGGTTGAGAGTCCGCCTGCCGATGCAGGGGACGCGGGTTCGTGCCCCGGTCCGGGAAGATCCCACATGCCGCGGAGCGGCTGGGCCCGTGAGCCATGGCCGCTGAGCCTGCGCGTCCGGAGCCTGTGTTCCGCAAGGGGAGAGAGGCTGCAACAGTGAGAGACCCGCGTACCGCAAAAAAAAAAAAAAAGAAAAATGCTGCTTTAACAAGGGTTGTTGTGTGCCCACTCCCCGCCAGGCATCGAGAGCCCAAACGTGAGCAGAACCTGGCCCTCATCAGTGCTGCCAGCCTAGGGTTGGAGTCTCCCAAGCCTGGGCCTTGAGCACTAAAATGCAGATTCCTGGGCCTATCCGCGACCCACTGAAACAGAGTGCCAGGGCCATCTGCATTTATCAAGCTCCCTGGGTGAGTCTTGCACATGGAGGTTGAGATTCTCTCACTTTCAGTGGCCCAGGTGTGTGTGTGTGAGAGAGAGAGAGAGAGAGAGAGAGAGGAGAGCGGGAAAGAGCAATTTCCTCTTTCCCTCTCTGAGGGTGGGGCTGCTGCAGAGTTCAGGAAAGCAGTCAGTTCTGTAAGCTGTGCTGTGTGTGTGTGTGTGTGTGTGTGTGTGTGTGTGTGTTTTCATGTGTGGGGGGCGGGCACAGTGTCCCAGGAGGACAGAGTTTGCATTGATGAAACCCTTCCCAGCCCTTTGATGCCTCTTTCCCTCTGCCCTGAAGTTAACCAGCTCAGTCCTCCGTGCATCCCGCTCGCCGGCCGCGCTCACTCACGGGCCAGGATGGCGCTCTGTCTGGCCCTGCGCATGGCACTGCTGCTCCTCTCCGGGGTCCTGGCCCCTGCGGTGCTCACAGGTAAGGGTGCCCCCGGGCTCTGCTACCACCAGCCTCCCAAGGCTAAGAAGTACCTTAGGCCAGAATCTCTAATGCCCACCGGCAAGGCCATTCACAGGAGATGGGGTGGCAGTTTGGGGGTGATTCTGTGAAGGGCTCCCCCAGGACAGGCTGGCAGCAGCTGCGTCCAAGGCCTCAGGGAATCGTTAGCCATAGAGATGGTGACCTCTGAAGTAGGAGGGTGACTTGGGGAGCAGGGCCAGGGACATTAGCTGCCTAGGGGACATGGAGATTACTCCAGCACCCTAAAATCTGAAGGCCTTCAGATCTGGGAGTCAGGAGGGGGCACCAGGCAAGCAGCTGAGGGGCAGAGGCCCCAGGCCCCTAGATGTAAGAACACAGAGCCCTACCATTTATTTGTCAAGCCCTGCAAGCCCTTCTCTGCTGGTTTTCTGAAATGTCCTTTGAGGGTGAAGACCCAGGTACTGTTTCCATCTTGGGAAAAATTCCAGAGGGAGCACAGGGCCAGAGACCCCTCTGTAAAACCATGAGGATGCTGGACTGAGGCACTGCACTGAGGCTGAAAATGGCTGGGTCTGGGGTCTGGCGAGAAGGGTCCCACCAGGCTTGGGTTGGCAGGCTCCTGGGACCTGAGCCCGTCCTGGGCACAGCTGTGGGGCTTCAAAGCCTGAGCGAGAAAAGGCACAGACGGGTCATGGGTGGTCTTTCTCCTGGAAGAAAGCCGTCTCTGATGGCCGTGAGGTGGGCCAAAGGGAGGTGTCTCGGGGCTCCTGAGGGCAGTCCTGGGGCTGGAGAAATGTGCGGGTGGGGGGGGCCCCTTGGAGACCCTCCACGGCATGGGTTTCGGGGGAGTGTCTGTGGATCTGAGGGAGGCTGTGATACCATCGTGTGGATGTGGTGCTGGGAGAGCTGCTGGGGGATGCGAGGCCTGGGGGGACCCTTATGGTCACACACTCAGGCACGAACACGGGAGGAAAGTGGGTGGGGTGGCGGGGAGCCTGTGGGCCTGCCGGCCTCCCTCTAGACGCCCTAGGAAGAAGCTTGCAGGCTGGCTTCGTTTCTGGCCCTGTCCTCCTCACTGTTTCTCAGCCTCTCTGTGCCTCTCCTCTGCTGTACCATGGCGATAACCAGAGCGCCTCTGCCTCTCTCGCAGGAGACTGCAGGTCTGCCAAGTTCACACACGTGAGCTTTCAGGACGGGCCAGGCAGCTGGTAGCGCTCAGCGCATGTTAGGAGGAAAACATCCCCAGCCGCTCTGCTGGGTGCAGGGTAGTCTCAGGCAGAAGCACCTCCTCATGCGGCTAGGAAAGCATCCAGCCTCCCTTTTGGTGGGAGAGGGGCCAGCTGGGCAAGCCAGGGGGCTGGTGTGGTGCCCAGGGAATTGGGGAAGTGATCTAAAGTGGGGTGGCGTCTCCCGTGGCTCCCTTATACCCCACCCACCACAATGAAAAGCTTTTCCCGCCTGGTGGTCAAAGTGGGTGGAGGTGAAGGTGCTGGCGTCCGTCTGCCCCGGGGTCTGGGGCCGTGTGGGCAGCTTCTGTCGTTCCTTGGTCCCCATGCAGCCAGCCCTCCCAGCCAGGCTGCCGGCCAGAGGCGCTGGATCAGACTGTGCACACACAGCCTGGGTGGGTGGGCTGCGTCTGCCGCCGCAGGAATGCCTGGGGACAGCCTCGCGTCTGGCGGCAGCGGGACCTCACCTGACCTCACCTCCCAAGTCCCCTCCATGTGTCCTACCAAGGGCAGGCAGGCCAGCCCCACCCCGGAGTCTTTGGGGCTCCGGCTGGCTGTGGTTCGCCCTGCCGCTCTGGGAGGGAGCGGGCTCGGGAGGCTCCTGGCCGCCCCACCCCCGGCTGGAGGCTCAGAGCAGGTGTGCAGCAGGCCCCACAGGCCCCTGGCCCGCTGCTCCCTGGACTGGGGTCCTGAGCAGGCAGGCGGGGAGGGAGCGGCCTGCTGCCCTCCCTGCGGGTCGCCCGTGTCCACAGCTACCGAGGTGGGGGGAGCAGGCCAGGCTGAGCGGGCGGGAGGCCAGGGCAGGGATGAAAAGGCCCTTCACGGCCGCACAAAGGCCGTCTGTGAGCTTGGGCGCCTGGCCTCCGGGCCCAGTGGTCAGACTGAGCGTTAAACAAGTTTATTTACCGAAAGGCGGTGGGGCTGGAGGAGAGCCCATGGTGCCCAGGCCCGTGGCATGGTCACGAGGCGCCCACTTCTCCAGGCCTCTCAGTCAGCGCGCAGAGTTGCCGGTCGCTGCTCACTCCGGTCCTTGTCCTCCCTTCTCCGTCCTCGCTTAACGTCTCTGCTCGCCATCCACGCCTGCCCGCATACCAGTCCCTCTGCCTGGCATTTCTTTCCCCCATCTTTCCCCCTCCTCAGATGGGGCCTGCTGTGAGGAAGCTCCCTGACAACGGCTTCTGTTCATGGCTCCCCGGAAGGATAGATCTGGGGGATAGACTGGCTTCCCCCTCTGACTACAGCAAATTGAGAGACTACGGAGGCACATAGATGAGGACAAGAAAATGCCTGGCCCTCCTCGGCAGCTGCACCTCCTTTGCCAGAGGGCTGGTGACTGAGCGCAGGCTGTAGTTCTGGCCCATGTGTGCCGCTGGGGCACCCGTCTGGGCTGGCAGGGAGCTGGCTGGGCCCTGGGCCCTGGCTGCTTGGGTGCAGATGAATCCTTGAAGCCCGGATCAGCCTCTGGGGGTCTCCCGGTGATGGTCAGCTACAGCCGGCGCAAAGCCCGCAGGGGGGCAAGGGCCATGGTGCCCAGGCCAGAAAGGCCCTAGGGCAGAGGCAGCAGCTGACGATGGCCGTGACAGCACAGTCACCACCTTGTGAGGGCTGTGAGAGGCACGGTCCACCCCCCATTCCACAGGTCGGGAAGTGAAGGCCGGCGGCGAAGGCAGTCCGCGGTGGTCCCAGGGTGAGGCTGTGGTGGAGCCGGGATCTGGACCCAGCCCTCCTGATTCGAAGCCAATGGATTCAGCCCGTCAAGCTTCAGAGACTGGCAGAGTCTTGAAGGGGCGGGAGGGGGTGCGCACAGCAGGGATGAGGGGGCCTGGGCTGGTGTGTCTGGCAGGGAGGGTCCAAGCTTCTGTGGGGAGGAACAGGGTGAGGCTGGGTCACTGGGGGCAGACAGGGAGAAGGTCTGGGTGGGTCTCCAAGTACCCTGCTCAGAGGGCCCTTCTCCCCGAGAGATGGCTCCCGGGCTCTGGCAAAGGGCAGAGGGTGACCACTAGTTCCTGGGAGTGAGCCCCTGCCCTCCAGGGGGTGTGGAGCCCGGCACTCCTCTTCCTGAGCTTGGGGCTGACTCCTTGGACGCCACCAGGTTGGCTGGCCCTGATACCCAGTAGCCCTGTGCTGGCCTCTCTGGCCAGAGGCCTGGCAGTTGGAGGTGAGCTTTGGCTGGTGGTGGTAGGACAGGGAGGTGCCTAGCTGCCACTCTGTCTCGGGCGTGTGGCGAGCAAGTGGGGACCAGCGGTTTGTTCATTTATCTGGAAGACAGGCAGTCTGTGAGCCCTAGACCTCAGGGCCTGCCAAGCGGTGGGTAGACCCAGGTCTTTTTTCTGCTCAGCCCCAGAGAGCCTGAGGCAGGCATGCCTAGGGCCTGGAGCCTTCCATGGCAGCTGCAGGCTGCAGACCCCAGCCCTCCCAGGCAGCGACAAGGGAGGCCTGACAGAGTCACTTTCCCCTTCCTCACAGGGGGTGGCCCCCACACACCAGCACTGCTTCAGCCTGGGCCCTGGGAGAGGGAGGCTTCCACACAGTGGGTGCAGGGGCCTTCTGCCCCTGAGAGGCCTCCTTGCCAGCGGTGTTTCTGAAAAGGGGCACAGGCCCAGGCAAGCCCTGGGAATATGACAGCGGTCCCTGCCTGCAAGCTGAGCCTCAGAACTGATCCAGCTGAGGCCTGGGAGAGGCACCAGGGGCAGGGCCTGTGAGCTGGGGACCTTGTAAAATTTTGTCATGAAACGATCTGAAGTTTACAGAAAAGTTATAAGAATTATCCAGTGAACTCCAGTAGGCTCTTCAGTTGGATTCACCGACCGCCAACATCTTGCCATATTTGCTCTTCTCACCGTCTTCCTGTCTCTATTTACTCACTTACCTATCTGATTGCTGAACCTTTGACAGTTAAGTTGTAGACATCATGCCCCTTTGTCCCTAAATACTTCCTAAGGACAAGGACATTCTCTTACATAAGCAGAGTCAGTTATCCAAATCAGGAAGTGAAAACTGACGCAGTACTAACACCTGAACTACGGCCTTATTCATAGTTCACCAGTGGACTCCATAATGTTCCATCCAGGAACGCGCGGTGCGTCGTGTTGTCACAGCTCCTTAGTCCCCAACCTGGAACAATTCCTCACCCTTTCTTTGTCTCTCGTGACCTTAACGTTTGTGAAAGCCTAGTTATTTTAAGGCTGCCCTGGAATTTGGGTTTGGCTGTTTACTCATGATTTGCCTCAGGTGGACACGTTGGCAGAAGAACCCTGGAAGTACCTTTGTGTCTTCCCAGAGCAGGCCCCTCTCCAGGAGCTGGTGAGCCTGGAATGCAGGGTGTGGGTCTGGCTTGTCTGTGCCCTGGGGGAGCTCTCAGGGGTGGAGCCCCCCAAGTGTGAAATGTGCCCCAGGGACCACAGGTGGGCTGGCCAGGGTTGTACTGACGGAACCACAACTTCCCAGGAAGTTTCTCGGGAAGCACAACCTCCTCAGGGGCTTCAATCCCCAGCAGCATCTAACTACCAGCACAGCGCCCACCTCAGCTTAACCTGAGCCTTGGTCTTCTTGGCCGACCACAGAGCGGCTGGTATCAATGAGACAGTGCGCTGTGATGCCCAGCAAGCCCATTCCAGCATCCCTGGCTCACAAGAGCGATCACTCAGGGCTGGGGTGTTGCTGCGAGGCTCCTAGGGCTAGGATCCTTGACGGGGGAGCAAAGTTGGTGTGGGCTGCCTGGGGTTACCATGCAGGCCTCTCAGCCTGTCCCTCTCGTTCTCTGGGGCCCCTGGGTACCCTAAATCCTGCTAACCCCCAACCCATGAGCTGAGAAAGGCTTCTGCAGAAAACGCTGGCCGGAGACTGATGTGCTGGTGGAGCCCCAGCTAGCGCGGGGCTGAGGGCTCACCCTTTCCTGGGGCTTCCCTTAACACTGACCACAGACACCCCTGCCCACCCCTCTGGCCCTGTTCCATCTGGAGGCAGCAACGTGCTGGCATCACAGTTTCTTAGGCTGGAGAGGCCCCTGCGCTCTAAGCCTCAGACACTCGGGGGGCGCGTGGAGGCATGTGCAGGCGCTAGACCTCAGGCCCTGGGGGCTGCTCCACTCTGCCCAGGTTAGGGCCGAGAAGCAGCAGGGCCGGCTGCCCCTGGGGTGTGGGGCAGGCCTCTCCTCTCCACCTCCTGCAGCAGTGGGCCATATTTGCTCACCGGCCGCGCTGAGCAGGAACCCTGGTTCCTGGAGAGGGCAATGCCTCACCCTCCCGGCGCCTTCTCCAGGGTGAAGGCTGCCCTGGGGCTGCCCTGTGCGGGTGCAGGGAAAAGACCCTTTACAAGTGTCACTTCCCCAGGGCCTACAGAGCCCAGCAGTTCAGATGGGGGGCCCCAGGCTCTGCTGGGTGTCGAAGTGCCCTGCCTCCCCCGGCCCCCCTGCCCTGAAGCTCGCTGCCAGCCCGAAGTTCTTCCAGCTTCCTCCCGAGTGGGCCTGTTGGTCCCTCAGTGCCCTCCTCGCCCATCAACCTGTCCTCTCATGGCAGGGGTGGCCTGACCCCAGCGGAGGCTCTGGGGCCACACGTGGGCCACTCGGCCTCCGTTGCCTCACCTGTGAAGCGGCAAGCACCGCGCTATGCCCCAGAGCCCGGCACTCAGCGCCCCTTCCCAGTCGGTCAACGGCGGGGGCGACGTCCCCGTCGGCCCTGCCGCCCAGGCCCCCACACCTGTCCTTGGCTTTGCAGCCGAGGGCCCGCAGGAGCCCGTGCCCACCCTGTGGAACGAGCCCGCCGAGCTGCCATCGGGAGAAGGCCCCGCGGAGAGCACCAGCCCCGCTCGAGAGCCGGCGGTCAGCGGCCCGCCCGCGCCCACCGCCGCGCCGAGCCCCGAGGACAGCACCGCGCGGGAGCGTCTGGACCAGGGCGGCGGTACGGGCTGGGGCGCGGGGGCCGGGCGGGCCGGGAGGAAGGGGTGGGAGTGGGGCCGGGCCTCGGGGCTAACGCGGCCCTCCGTCCTCCGCAGGCTCGCTGGGACCCGGCGCCATCGCGGCCATCGTCATCGCCGCCCTGCTGGCCACCTGCGTGGTGCTGGCGCTCGTGGTCGTCGCGCTGAGAAAGTTTTCCGCCTCTTGAAGCGAATAAAGGGGCCGCGCCGCGGCGCGACTCGGCGCCACCCCCGGTGCGCGCCCCCGTGTCTCCATGTGTCGGCGCGTGAGTGTGTGGGCGAGCCGGGTGGGGGTGTGGGGGCAGGCGACGTGCACGTGCTCGGGGCTCGAGGCGCGCAGACGCGCGCAGACGCGCGCGTGCGTGAGCGCACGTGCGCTGGGGCCCCGCAGGAGTGCGGGTGCGTGCACGATGCGCGTGCGCCGGAGGCCGCTGGTGTGCGCGAGCGGGGCGTGCGGAGTTCTCTGGCCAGAGTTCTCGGCGAGGCCGTGGGAGGGCGGAGTCGTCGTGCCGCAGCCCCCTGCTCGTCCCGCAAACTGCCCGGGGCCTGCCCTCTGCCGACCCCTCAGCTCCGGCCCTGGAGCGCTGCGAGGGCGGACCGGCGTGAGGCCCCGAGGGCAGGAGAGGCAGCGGCCTGCCCTGGGCCCGCCGCCCTGCTTTCTGCGCCTCGCTGGGTGATGGTGGGGTCCGCGGGACCCTGGGCTGTCCCGGCTCCCCAACCAGAGGCCAGTGACTTTGGGGGTGCGGGGCGTCTTCTGACTCTGGCAGCCAGCGCGCTATTTGCAGGCTCTGAGCCCCAGACCTGCACCTTCAGGACTCCTGGGGGCCCCTCTTCCCCGGGGAGCCCAAGGAGCGAATGAGGAGAGGGGTGAAGCCCGGGTGCTGTGGGCCCCTGTCCTGGTTCCCCAACCCACAGCCCCAGACCGCCTCCCTCCCCTGGCTTGTGTAAGCTTGTGCAGGGGGCTTCGCGGAGCCTCGGGCAGAGCGGGCAACCCCACGCAGGACGGCTGTTTGAACAGAGAAGGAAAACAAAAAGGCTTTTCAAGCTCATCTCTTTTCACTTCAACCCTGAAATTATGGCAACTGAATGAGGGATGAGGAACCACCCATCCGTGCCACGCCCCAGCTTGGCCCTGGCACTGGGTCCTTGGTCATGCCCTCTGTCTTCCATACTTCCCAGGAAGCCTAACTTTTATCATTTATAGAGAGGGATTTAAATTAGTGGCTTACCTGCTCTGGGTGCAGCAGGAAAGAAGCCAGAACTGCGTCCTGTCCCCATCCTCCAAGGACCCGTGGAGTGAGGACCCAAGGCCTAGAGGGGGCACTGTCTGCAAACCCCAGTGATGGTTTAACACCTGGGCCACAAGAGGATCCTTTTGAGTGAGTGCTGGTGGAGTGAGCTGTTCCTCTTTTTTTTTCACCATTGTCTCTAGCAATTGTTTTGGCCTCCTTGGTTTCTCTGAGCTCCTGACTACCTGTTCTGGCTAAGACCAGTTTTCTCCTGGATACGCCAGATGGCCACACGTGGTACCCACTCACACTCCTCAAAACACATCATGGCTTAAGTTTCTGCTTATAAAGACTGTTATGAAACTGACTGGTCTTCATGAAACTGTTTACATTATTACACATAACCTGCAGTAGCCGAAGCCCTCCTTAGAGCAGGTGACCCAAGTCAGTATGCTGTTTCCCAGCTCCAAAAAGAAAAGCGGGATATGGGCCAGGACCAACGGCTCCCCTCCCCAGCCCCACCCTGCCAGGAGCAGTATGGGACTCCGAAATGGTCCCTCTCCCCATCCCCTCACTCCTGGGAAACTCAGGTGCAGGTACTTCCCCTGGGGTTGCAGGAAGGAGGCCCCAAGAGCATCAGCCCCTCACTGGGACCACAGGGGTCCCTCTCCAGTTGGACCAGCATGTTGCGTATGTATGTATCTTCCAGGGATTCATCCAGTTCTCAAAGGGTCTGAGGTCTCAAGAACGCCAAGGGCCGTGCTGTGGCCTGTGGGAAGATGCTACAACGTCCCACTTGATCTAAATCCTGGGCTTCTAATCTAAGTGTGTCCTGGCAGGCAGGGCTGGGCGGGGTGGGATTCAAGGCCCTCCACATTCCAGGACAGAGCCAGGTGTCGGGTGGCTCCGAGGGCCAGCTGCAGCCTCCGGTAACTGGCTGCCACCTCTGGAGGTGGGAAGAAGTGTCCCAGGCCAGTGACTGGCCAGGTGGGAAGCCGCAGTCCCAAACCTGGTGGTCAGATCCCTTATGGGGCCACCACCCACTGACACCTCTGTCCCACAGTGTTCAAACCTGCCTTCTCAACCTGCAGAAGGGTGTCCCCCACTGCCTCAAACAGCTTATCCGGTTTCTGGAGCCCCTCCACAAGTAGAGGTCCAAAGCCACTCCCGTCCTGAGGCCCCAACCCCAGCTGTTTCTTCCTCCACCTTCCTCCTTAGCCCTTTCCCTGGGACACACCTCCTCCACTGGGCTTGAAGGGGGCTCTTCTCTCCCTGCCAGACCGAAACACCTCATTCTTGTGCGCACAAGGGTAATAAAAAGTAGACCTTCCTCTCTTTTATTTTATACATGATGCTTCTTTTAATGCAGCCAGAAATGCCATTTGCTTTTCTCGGAACCATAACCCATACAGGATGCAGTGACCATTTCTTTATAACACCTGGGCTCCGCAAGGGGCCAGAAGATGCGAGTTACATCCAGCCCATCAGGGAGCCAAAGGCAGCGTGGGCCCTCAGCCAAGCTCTGGTGGCCGTGAGGCAGGCCTGGCCGTGCAGCCAGAGACTGGCGGAGGCTTGGGGCGGAGGTGGACAGAGGCGGTTGGGCTCTCAGTCCTTTGAGTCGGAGACCAAAGGACACTTGTCAAGCTCATCAGGCAAGGGTGGTCCATCTGTGCACCTGGCCGATTCTAACAGCTTCCAGGGGAGAGGACACGTGCAGGGGTCATAACATCGTCACCTTTGCACCTGCCCTTGGCCAGGGACACCGTGGGTCTGGGGCCTCTCAGTGCCTGGGAAGGGCCCTGGAGCATGCCCGTCCTCTGTCTGCCCCTCCCAAGAGACAAGAAGAAGAGGTGGTGTAACACTGTTTAAAATACACTTTTTCGTTTACAGATGCAGCAGAGGAGAGACGTGGGCCCCTTTTCTGCAGTTCGTGAGCAAGGGGCCAAGACACATGAGCACTAACCACGTAGCAGGGGTGGGGGGGGCGACTCCTGCCGAGGCACCCCAGGTCACACCCTGCTGACTGCGGCGGCGTCCGGCCTTCCCACTGAGCCCCTCCGCTGTCCGCTGGGGGCTGCCCGCCACGACCTGCTCCCGCCCACCCACATCCCTCGGCCAGGCGGGGGGCCAGGGGTCACTGCCGATTTCGGCTGCCCAGCTTCCTGCGGTCCTTATTCTGGCTGCGCTGAGGGTCATCCATCTTGTGGACACGGAAACACTCCTTGAGGTTCTGGGACCGAATCTTCGGATTCAAGATCTCCTCAGTCATGCTGCTGGGGAACCAGCCTCTCTCCTGGTCATGCAGACGCTCGCCAAAGATCCACCCTGCGTAGGGAGGGGAAGGGGAGGGTCAGAAGCTCTCCAAGTGGCGCAGGCTGGGCCTCGCCCTGGCCTGTGTGGGGAGCAGAGGAAAGGGAGACACAGGGGTCCAGCCGGCCTTTCCAGAGGTCCCCTGCCCTCAGACACATTGCTGGAAATGCCCAGACCTGGTTAATCCCCGTGAGCTGGGCGCGTGCTGCCCTCCCCCCGTGCACAGGGCGGGGGGGCAGAACCACTGCGTGTCCCGGATGTATTGACTTTGGAACCCATTCCCAAGCTCTCAAACCATCCTAGGCTGCCCCAAGTGAGGCCAGGAGACCCCAGGGGCCACCCCCAAAAGCAGGAGGCATTGAGGAGCTGGTGGGGTGGTAGCTGACCGCGTGGTTCCCTGGCCGTGAATGCTACCGTCACCCTCTGGTTGGGCAGCCCCTCCCTGAGCCTCAGCCTCCCGGAAGCTGGGTGGTCAGCTGAGGGTGGCTGTCACGAACTGGCCGAGTGCCCTAGCTCTCTACCCCCCACCCCCGTATCACAGTGTCTCTGCTGGGGGCCTGGGGCCCGAACCGCAGGTCCTGGGGCAGGGCTAAGACCTGGGGCCCGAGGGCCAGGGGCGCGCCTTCTGCAGGCCACGTGGGAGGGGTGTCAGGCTGTTTATATGTTGCGGGGGGAGGGGGAGGGCAGGAACCACTGTTCTCTCAATGCTGGGTGAGCCCCTAGGATTTGGGAAGGGTGGGAATGGCCTTCTCTGGAGGTCACCAGCCTGAGACTTTCCAGCCAGGGTCTTGAAAAAGAGGAGGAAATGGGGGTGGGGGAGATGCTTTGTGCAGTTTGGGGGATTTAGGTTAGGAACAATTGATGTAGAAATAAGGGATCAATTTTTCAGGGGAGGGGAGTGAACCTCTGGCACTGATGCCAACAGCAGGAGTGGGCGGGAGCCCCGGCGAGCGGCTCTCTGGCCCATGTGGGGCTACAAGCCTGGTGGTCACAGGCTCATCTGGAAGCTTGTTGCAAATACGGGGTCAGGGTCAGGGTGCTCCTGGCCATCACCCCTCCCACTGTGATGGGGGCTGATGCCAGGGCCGGATGAGGGGAAGCGACATGGAGCCAGGCGCTCAGCTGGGCCTCATGCTAAGTGGCGGAAAGCGGACCTCACAGCTCCGGGGAAGGAGAGTGGAGGCACTGGGAGAGCTGCCTGCTCTATGCTGAGAAAAGGCCAGCGGAAGCCATGAGGGGCAGAATGGTCTACGGGAGCAGACAGGCAGCACGGCCCTGGGCTCTGCCTGCTCTCAGCCGGCTCTTCTGTCTGCTTCTCCACTGCATCCCTCAGGCTGGGGCAGAGCCCCAGGAGGGGCGGGCAGGGAGCCTCGAGCGGGAGAGGCACCCAGCCCCGGGGCCTCACCATCCTCTGTCTTGTCCAGGATGTTCAGGATGTCGGCCAGATCCAGCGTCAGCTCGTCCGGCTGCTGGGCCATGTACGGGTGCACACACTGGACCTGGGGGCAGTCTGAAGGGAGGAGAGAGGGGGGCGGCATGTCCTCATCACCACGGCACCCGCCCTGGCCCCCCACTTCTGCCTCAGCAGTTAGCAGGGGCACGCTGCCTGTCCAAGAGACAACGCAAACTCCCGCAGCAACTGAAAGAGGGCTCATTCGAGGGAGGGGTGTGTGGCTCCAAAGAAAAGGCCGTTAGAGCGCCAGGAGTTCTGAACAAAAAGTATGTGGATACAGGGATGAACAGGCTTGAGGGGCTCTTATTGAGACTTCAGAAGGAGCTGCTTGGTCCTGGGCTGGGCCCTGGGAGCAGTTTGGGGACAGTAAGGACTCGGTGAGCTCGGTCAGGATGGCAGCGTCTCTATCAGGCAGCTGGACTTGTGCCCTTTTATATTTTGTAAGGTTTTCAGACAATCGGCCACCCCAGAGAACACTGGCGTTTGCCTTGTGGGCCCGAATTCCTCTTGGTTTCCTTGTGGTATCTGCCACTTATGACCCAGTGGCTTTTATTTCTTCATTAACCATCAAAACGTTTGCAAAGCTCAGGCACACCCGTGTCCTCCGTGGGGTACTAAGCTCGCACTGGGGTGCTAGGGACCCCCGGGCAGGCGAAGCAGTCTTTCCAGCGGCCCCGCAGGCCCTTCAGGCGGAGTGCAGAGGCCCCTGAGGCTGACGCAGCTGTGACAGGCAGGGCCGCCACGAGGCTCCCTGGACCCTCCCCTGCCCCACCCGGCGGGTGCCCCCTCCCCAGTGGGCCACCTACCCAGCAGCCGGGACGTGAAGGAAACAAACTTGGTTCTTCGATTGGGGGCCAGCGAGGTCATCCAACGCTTCATCTCGCTCCTGGGACAGGGAGGAGGACAAATGCCCCAACCGCAGAGCAATGGACCCCATGTGAGGGGAACCGCTGCACCAGGCATCCAGCAAGCTGGCCACTGGGTCCTGGGCCTGGCACAGAGCCGCAGCAGGACGGCGTGGACGGGGCCGGGAATCCAGTGGCGGGACGGGGGCGGAGCTCTATAGAACCTCCCTGGTACATCTTTAAAGTCAGTGGGTGAGGGTGAGCCCACGACACCCAAGTTAACCCAGAGGCGAGCCCTCAGCTGCCAGCTGCCCTGAGCCATGGTATGTGGAATCGGGAGAGGCTGACGCCACCCCAGTCCCAGGCAGTCAGAACCGGACCGCAATGTGCAGGGCGACACCTGTGAGTCCTTGGCTGGGGGGTGCTGGGCACCGCACAGGGGCTGCAGGGCGGCTGGCCTGGCAGCTCAGAGGTGCAGGTGGGCCTGAGGCCACTTTGACAGTGGTTCACTGGTCGGTCGGGCCCAAGGGCTCTACAACAACTCATCAGAACAGAGGGGCCCACCCAGAGTCTGACGCCCAAGGGAACAACACACACACACACACACACACACACACACCCCCAGCAACGTGCTCGCCCCGCACCCTGACGCTAACACTGCACAGAAACCCTCCCGGCAGGGCCTGGGGGAGGAAGGACAGGAACAGGGCGGCGGTGTGCCAAGCCTGGAGCCTCGCTCCACCCGGGCAGGCGACAGCGGCGCTGGGCACTCACTGAGAGGACGCCTTCAGCATGTAGGTGGCCTCCCGGTCATCCGCATTCTCGAGCAGCCGCAGGATGAAGACGTTGGCCAGCGTCTGGCCCTGGTCCTCCAGCTCCTCCACTCGCAGCAGGCCCCGCGGGGCGGAGTCAAAAACCTGGTACTTGTCTCTGGGGACCGAGGGTGGCAGCAGAGGCACGTCAGTCCCGAGGCGGCGGCTCGGATTTCCAGGAAACGCTCTACCCTGGCCAGCGAGGCCGGCCCCTCTGCTGCCACTCCTCACCTCCTTCTGGAAGCCCCCCACCTGACCGCCTGTCCCCCTCACCCCCAGCCCCCGCCCTCCACAGTGTGGACGGCGGACGAGGGGTCGGCACCCATGACACGGCAGGGACCGCTCGGCCGAGCCCTCCCCAGGCGTCAGGCACGGAGCTGGACTCTCCACATCCTTAGGGGTACAGCCCCCGCTAGACGGAGGGGAAACGGAAGCTCAGGGCGTTGAAATACACCTGCCCGAAGGCCCAAGGCTGGACCAGAACGGAGCAGGCCTTCAAAGCGGATCCAGGGCCTGGGCAACATCCCAGCACCATGCCCGCCGCCCCCAGGCCGTGGTGACTCCCCATCCCTCTGGCCTGCTGCTCACCCCGGAATCTGCCGGCAGATCACCAGCAGATCGTTGAAGAGGAAGAGGTAAATTTCCCGGAAGAGCTTCTTGGTCCGCAGGGTCCGGGATGTCTTGGGGCCTGACATCTGCTGCAGCTCGCCCTGCTTCAGCAGCCAGCGGGAGTGGGAGATGATGGGCACCGACTGCGTGAGGGGGGACGGCATCAGAAGGGCTGTGCCCATCCGCGCCCCCCGCCCCAGGCTCCCCTTGCGCTCTGACTGGAGTGATGACGGCGAGCAATGGTGTGTGAGGCCCGCACTGGGCCCAGGACACGCGTGGCGCTGATGGGAGGGACGGACGGGTGCTGGGCAAACACGGAAGGGCGTGTGTGTGTGTATGCGCCCGTGTGCCTGAGTGGGCATATGTGTGTCTGTCTGTTGTCTATGTATCTGCGTGTGCTTTTACGTATGTGTGCTCACGTCTAAGTGTGTCCACGTGTCCTGTGTCTATACTCGCGTGTGAGTGTGTACATGTGGGTGCCTCTGTGTGTGTGTGTCATTCTCCTACTACGGTGTGATGCCGGATCAGAGGAAAGGCCAAGTTCACAGGAGAGAGGGGAGAACTGGGTCCCCCAGAGTGAGGAGACTGGGCCGGCCGGTCTCCACACTGTGGCTCCGGGACAGGCACCCAGCACCCAGCACGCGGCCCACAGGTGGAGCTACGTGGGGGGCCCGGAGGTCTGCGTCCTCAGCTGGGGCTCAGCTCCCAAACCTAGCATGACCTCAGGGACCCTCGGTAGGTACCGTGTGCTCATGTGCACAGAACCCCAGAAACCCAAGCCCTCGGGGCCCTTAGGGTCACTAATGCCTGAAGCTTTACACAAAGCTGGGGGAAAGGTCGGTAACTTCCGTCGAATTTTCGAATCGCCCACATTTAAGAATCCCTGGAGCAGTCCATGTCACACTCTTCATGTGAGCTGACTGTACAAGGTCACACAGCCAGTAAGTGAGAGCAGGCAGCTCCCAGCTCCCTGCAGGAGACAGTCTAGGCCAGCGGTCCCCAACCGTTTTGGCACCAGGGGCTGGTTCTGTGGAAGACAACTTTTATACAGACGGGGGTGGGGGATGGGGGGATGGTTCAGGCGGTAGTGCGAGCGATGGGGGGCGATGGGGAGCCATGGGGGGCGATGGGGGGCGAAGGGGAGCGATGAGGGCGATGGGGAGCGATGGGGAGCGATGGGGGGCGATGGGGAGCGACTGTAAATACAGATGAAGCTTCACTCGCTCACCCACCGCTCACTTCCTGCTGTGCCGCCCAGTTCCTAACAGACTGCAGACCGTTACCGGTCCGCGGCCTGGGGGTTGGGGACCCCTGGTCTAGGCCAATGTGACGGCCCGGTGACTGGGGGCAGGTAGGGCCTTCAGCTAAGGGGTCAGGGAAGGCCTCGGTGGAGGTGGTGCTGTGCTGAGACCCAAGGGCAGCCATTCACCGAGCCCGGCCAGTGCCCAGTGCTCCAGGACAGCCGGGCTGGGGCGGGGACGCGTGGCTGGGCGTGGGCTCACCTTGATCTTAAACTCCATCTTCTTCTGAATGCTGATCATTTGCTCCGTGCGGCTCATTTTCCTGACGCCCTCGTTGCATGCTTTTACCACCTGGGACGAGAAGGAGGACACATCAGGCCACCCACAGCCAACTGTCTCTGACCACTTCCTTCGGCCCACTCAGGCCACAGCTGGTCAGTCTCAACTGGGTCTCAGTTCCAGTGTAGAAAATCAGGGCCTTGTCTTTGCTGGGACGTGAACTCCAGAGAACACATAAATCTGTGCTGACCCCTCGTGTCACCTAAGAGAGCAAATTTCGACCAGAAGACGTCCCTTCTCATCTGTCAGACTAGAAATGCCCCAGGTCTGGGGATCAGGTTCCATCACACACTGTGGGGGGAGCACAGAGTCCCCCCACCTTCCTGGGCGGCAACCCAGGTACCAAGGGGCCGAATGAAACCACATTTTCTGGGACTTCTGGGGACTCATTCCGAGAGATGATATCTGCACAGGATCTAGAACAGGGCCTGGCACCCAGCAGGCGCGCAGAGGTTAGGAACGAGCCCAAAGACGTGCGTACTAGGATGTCCCCTGCAGTGGTGTTCGGAGCAAGAGAAACTGTCCTCAACCTAAATGTCCATCAGCAGGGGTTGATTAGTGCTCATAAATCCACAGAACCCTGTACTCTGAAACCATGAAGAAGTGCAATAATTTTACAGGCACTAAAATGGAGGGAAAAGCCAACTCATAAAGCACAAGCCCATCTGCAAAGGATACAATTGTGCGCGTAGGCGTCTGTCTGGAAAGGGGCCTGGAAGGGCCGGCACCAGCGTGTCGGCAGTGGGGTGTGGGAGAACTGCTCACCTTTACCATCTTCTTTTTGCCTATGAACAGTTTGTGGACTTGTTTGTATTCAGCATCATTTTTATAAATTAAGGGAAAAAAACCCACCTTTATTAAAAAAGGTAAATAATGAGAAGCAAGCGTATACCTGGGAAATGAAAAGGAGATGAAAGCAGAAAAGAACTTGAAAACAGAAAACACTTGCCGGTGCCCCGAGACCCCTTGGGGCCCAGTGTGGCCGGCTTCCCGGTGGGGGCCGGAATGAAGCCCCCACCTGATAAGGTGTGTGCGTTCCAGGGGTGGGCAGAGGGTCCCAAGAGATGCAGCCTGGCTGGCAGGTCACTGACCCTCCCTGACCAGCCTGCTCGAGGCTCCAGCCTTTCCCCAGCTAGGCTGGGAGGGGAGTGCTGTGTTTCCCAGGATCCAAAGGGTATAATCGCCTGAAGGACTTTGGAGGCCAACTGGCCTGATTGAGGGATGCGAGGAGAGGCCCCTGGGGGGAAAAGACTGCATTAAGCTACAAAGTCCTCATGGCTCCGTGTGGCTCTATGTGGCTTAGAACCACCACCTGGGGCTAGTCCTTTTACTAAGCTACTGCCACTGGCACACTAAGTGGAAAGGACTTCCCAACACAGGCTCTCGTCCGTTTCAGGGTCACCAGCACGACAGAGTGGCCCCTGCACGGCTGCCAGGAGTGGGCTCGCAGCTCCAGCAGACACACTGGAGCCAAAAACACAGGACAGCGCTGCTTTCAGACAAATACGTGGGAACAGACACATTCACTGACCCCTCCCACACGGCCCCTGCCCTGCCGGCAGCTTCCAGGAGGATCCTCTTCTCTCCGAGGATCAGGAGAGGAGATGCTTTCTCCACTCCTGGGCAGGAAGAGCCCAGGCTTGGCAGGGCCGGGCAGTCCTCTCGCGCAGATAGGAGAGGTGCAGCTCGAGGGCCGGGAGAGGCGGGATTGGGGGGCGGGAGAGGCGCACAGGGCAGAGCTGCATCAGGGCCCAAGAAGGGCCAGAGCCGGCCTCAGAGCGCGGCAAGGGAGGCAAGAGCCATGGCTTTTGACACTGGAAACAGGTCAGGACAAGCGTGCGGCCTCCGAGCGCTGCGGAGGGGAGCGCCTGGGCCTGTGGGTGGCCACAGAGTGGGGGCTGGCAGGAGGGTCCATGAACATGTCTGCAGGTCAAGAGTGCCCGGCCGGCCTGGTCCACCCCGCACGTCAGCAGCCTGGGGTGAGAAGCAAGTCCACCCGACTTATTCTTTGGACCCAGTGACTTCTCTGGATTGCCAACTATTAAAATGAATTTGCATCTTCCAGAGATGCATGGGCACAGGAGGGGGCAGGACAGGAAGGTGGGTCTAGAGGAGGAAGACAGCTGACCGGGAAATGTGGAAAGAGGAAAGCACAACTCACCAGCTCCAGTTCCTTGTGCGCACCCAAGGCAGTGCCTTCCCGCTCAGACCTCTCTTCCACCCTCTTCAGGATGTTCTGAGCACAGGCAAAGTCTGCATTTAGTTTCCTCACGTACAGCCATTCCTCCCCTCTCCGCCCCCTTTGGCAGTGGCCGCCTCCCTGCCACACTGGTCCAAAGAGCCTCGTGTTGCTGCAACATCCCGGAGCAAAGAGCCCCACCAGTTACAGACTGAGGGCGGGAGAACCTTCCACCAGCCGAGGGCCGAGCATCGCACACAAGCCTTGCTCGGCTCTAAGATGATAACCACGAGTCAAGGTCGGCACGAGGACTAACTACGAGGGCCAAACCCGAGCCCCAGTCTCCTTACAGCGAAGACCGAAGCAAAGGAGGCAACCAAGTGCGGTGGGGAAGGGGGCGGACGAGGCCCGACAGTGAGGGAAGGGTCGCTCAGGGCTGACTGTCCCCGAGGTGAGCTGGATGTCTGCAGCAGCATCAGTGGGACTGCCGTTTGAAGCCAAGTAGCAGCGACCCTGAGGCTTCGTTAAGTCTGGTCTTATTGATAAAATCCAGTAGTTGGATTTTCTTGTGTTTCGCCTATAAATTACAATGTTTGCATTGGTTTCTGCCTCACAGTTCTCCCCGTGCCCATATTTCTGATCTGCTCTCATTCCATGAAGAGGTTTGGGTGCGTCTGAGCACAGCTCACCTCCCCCGCAGCTGCCCCATGTGGTGGCACAAACGTCCCCAGCCACCTGCTGCCACCCAGACACCAGGATGCTGGGCATCCTTTCCACTCTCTCCTGAGCTCCAGACCAGACCCAGATCCCTCCCACCTCTGGATGTCCCTCAGCTCCCACCTCTGGAGGCCCCCAGCCTCCCCTGTGCGGTCACCTGCCCCGCCTCTGCCTGCCAGCCAAGCCAGACACACGCAGTCAGCTCCGATGCCTCCTTACCCTCCCCCCCACCAACATGGGGTCACCAACCCTGCCTGTAACCATCCCCCGACTCCCAAATCCAGCTCCCAGCGAACAGGATGGCTCAGGCTCCACCTTTTCTCATTGGGATAAAACCCCATCTAACCAGGTCCTGCTCCTGGCCTCAGGCAGAGGGTGGTGTGGCTTCTTCAGCCTGGGCACAAGCCCTCCACGCTGGCCTCCTCTCTGGTGGGCCCCTCCCTACCTCCTGTGGTAACTGGCGGGTGTACCCGGAGCACCCCGCCTACATTCACCCCTCGGACGCGCTGCCTCTGAACCTCAGTCCCATTTCCACTCTTGCCCTCCTGCCCGATACCCTCCACACGGCAGCTGCTTCGAGCTCTTACCAGTGTCAACTAGATGGAATGACTCCCCATCACATTGAGGATAGAACCCAATGTCTTACCTGGCTCCTTAGGCCCCTGATCAGCCTCTGCCCACATCTGCACACCCATTCCCATCATGTTCCCCCAGCTCACCGCTGGCCGCCCCGTCTGTGTACCTTGCTGCCCCAGGGCCTTTGCATAAGCAGCTCCCTGTCAGATGAATGGCTCCTCCCTGTTAGCCAAGTCTTAGCTTAAATGTCACTCATCCGAGTCTTTCCTGATCCCCCAACTGGCAGTGGGCAGGCAGTCACCACCATCATGTCACTCTGTTTCACTGTCCTCAGCCATGACCACTTCCTGGTTGTGTGTGTGTGTGTGTGTGTGTGTGTGTGTGTGTGTGTGTGTGTATCTCCCCACCCTCCCCCAGAATGTGGCTCTGTGGAAGCAGGGGCTGAGTCCCCCATTGCTTGGCACACAGTAGGAGCTTAATTAGGATTTGTGGAACAAATGGACTTCTGGAAACAGAAAGCCAGCCTGGAATGACCAAAGCAAACAGCCCGCAGCAGGAGAAGTGTGTGTCAGGGGAGAGAGGCTGGTACCTGGACCAAAAGCTTGAGGCGCGTGATCCTCTGGAAAGGCAGGATGAGGAAGGAGGAGAGGGGCAGCCCCCTGCACTTGGGGTCCAGCTCCAGCTGCGTGATCAGCTCCCGAAAGGCTGCCTTCTCCTGGCTGGGGACACAGACAAGAGAGTAGGTCTCTGGCTCGTGGGAGGCGCAAACTGGAGGGGGTTCTTCCCCGTCCTCAGACCCCTAAGAACCAGACAGCCCACAAGCACAGAAAACGCGTCGATTTCTTCTCTCCTCTCTCTCTGTTTTTTTTAATGGAAAATAAACTGTTCGTGTACAAGTCAAATAACAATAGTGACTTCACACGCCAGGCCCATGAAGTCTTAGCAAAATATGCTGTGTGTGGGAGGGCAAGGATTCCTTGTGTGGCCGAGACCACGAATCAGACGCAGAATTCGATGATTTACCCAGCAGGAAATGGTGGCAAGGTAAACCCACGTAATGACAGGAGCAGGCAGCAGGCTGGAGACGGCTGCAGGGAGAACCTGTGCTACTCCTGCCAGGTGAGGATGTCTCGTCTGCAGACGGGCTGGGCAGTGGGAACCACTGCTGGAGATCAGACGCAGGCTCTGGACTGCCCGTCATTAGGGACATGGCGCTCAGGCCCAGGGAGTCTGCTCTCACGGGCCACACCAGTGGACCCCTGGGCACTGCAACATCTAGAATCCTATTCTCCTGTGTGACTGTCTTCTCAACGTTCGTCCTCAAAACTGGCATCCCGATTCCCTCAAATCCCAGTTTCAAACCCCAAATGTAAAACATCCAAACCCCTGAATACTCAAACTTTAAAACATCCCCAGTGAACTACACGGCTTGATGGAAAGACCCAACGAAGCACAACGTCCAGAGGTCACTACTCAGAGAGTCCTTTGGTGCCCACGAGTGTGCTAAGAACATAGCACTGGTTAAACTGTGGTTGAAACATAGTACAGACATGTGAAGAATTCAAAAGAGGCAAGTTAATGAAAAACCTCTCTCATCAACGGAAACCCCAAGAAAGTTTACAAAATGGGCAGATTAGCCAATTCAAGGGCTTTGCTGGAGAACCACCAGAAAGACCCCCTCCCCCCAGTCCTTGCCTTGTCTCTAGTTCAAACCACTTTCCTGCCGTCTTGGGCCTCGAGTTGTCCTCTTGGCCTCAAGCTCCCTTTTCTAAAACTCACAGAGCCCTGCACGGCCATCTGGACACGGGTCCGGTGGGCGCCATGGCTGACTGTCCCGGGGTCAACATTTCCCTAGGGACACCGAAAGCCCCGGAACGTGCCGGAGTTGGACGCTGTCCTGGGAAAGCAGAGACCCAGGGACCACAGCTCAGTGTCAGCGCAAGAGGAGGGGCCGCCGGGGCCAGGCCGTGCTCACAGCAGCTGTTTGTAGGCCCTCTCCTGGTAGGTCTGGTTGCTGACGTAGGTGATGTAGACGGAGAAGTGGTCGGCGGCGTAGAGGTACACGATGTCGCACACGTCTGAGATGACGATGTTCTCCTCCATCCTGCGCTCCAGCTCCAAGAGAAACCTGCAGCGGGCGGCGGCTGGGTTAGGGGTGGCTGGCTGGGGAGACTCGGGACACGTCTCCACCAAACCAACCAACCCGACAGGAGGAGGTCCCAGCGAGGGGGGCACATTCTGTCACATCACGGAATTACTTGTTCAGTTTTATAGGTGGGTAGTGACATTAGGAGCATTTTTTTTTTTTTTTTTTTTTTTTTGGGCGGGGGGGGCTCTCTCCTGTGGCCTCTCCCGTTGCGGAGCACAGGCTCCGGACGCGCAGGCTCAGCGGCCATGGCTCACGGGCCCAGCCGCTCCACGGCATGTGGGATCTTCCCGGGCCGGGGCACGAACCCGTGTCCCCTGCATCGGCAGGCGGACTCTCAACCACTGCGCCACCAGGGAAGCCCTAGGAGCATTTTTAAAAGGGAGAGACCTCATCTTTTACGTCCATACTGATGCGTTTACAGTTGAAGTGAGATGACGATGGTGATCTGCTTCAGAACAATCCCGTGGGTGAACCTAGATGCTGAAGCGTGGGCTTGCTACACTGGTGTCTCTACTTCTGCGTGCTTGGGATTTTCCATAATAAAATATAAATAAATACAAAAATAAATAGACACCCCTCCCCCAGTGGGGGTGAGCGGCAGAGACGGAGGCGTCTCCGAGGCTGCTCTGGTCTCAGTCAGCTCTCGCCTTCCTGAGCCTACCAGGTGGGGGGCTGCCATGAGGATCTGGGGGCTGCAAACGGAAAGGTGGGGTGTCCATGTGGAGGGGGACCGACTCAGGAGGGTCCATGGAGAGCCACACACGGGTGTGGGTTTGCTGCTGCCCGCGTGCTACTTCACATCTGAACAGGCGGGGACGGACCAGCTCATAAAAGCTGAGTTCTGCACTTTGAGCTGCAAACCTCCCCAGGCTACAGTGAAAACGGGAAATGGATCTTTTATCCTAACGGAATGACTGGAGTTCATTTCTTCTTTGCAATAATCAGTCAATAGATGTCTATTCCTCCTCCACTTAAGCTCATCCCATCCTTCTTTAGGCAAAAGAAGTACAGTCCCAATCGCCACCTCCACACACCCTTGCTAACACCACGCAAACGGAGAAGAGAAAGTGTAAATCCAGGACCGCGCTCCGCGTTGGCCCTCAGAGGGTCTCGGGCCCTGCACGCACCAAGCCAGGGCCTTGTGAGGTCAGGATAAAGAGCAGCTCACACGGACACCCCAGGACTAGGTCGTGACACCCGCCACTGATGTGCCTGACTGTGGGAGACACACGGAGCACCTGCGTGGCCGGGGGGGACCTGCAGGCAGCCGTCCTGTCCAGGGGAACGCGACGGGCCTCGTTGCTGGGAGATCTTTGGATTTATGTATTTAGTTACATCTTATTACAGAAAATTCCAAAGCTACAAAAGCAGAGAAGCCAGAGTAACAGGCAGTGCCACCAGCCCTGGACGTGCCCCAGGCGAGGAGGAGGGACAGGAAGGGGCCCCACGAGGACTGGGGCGGAGGCTCACCGCTCACTGACGGCCATGACGTCCAGCACGTTGGAGAAGAGGATGTGTGCCTCGGACGGGTGCAGGATCTTCTTCAGGCGCTCGTTCTCCATGAAGTGGGACACCAGCAGGTTCAGACTTTTGTAGTAGGAGGCCTCGGAAGTCACCAGCTCGAACATGGCCTGGGACGTGAGGAGGGCCAGCGGTCAGCACCTAAGACTCGTCTCCCCCCGCTCTCAGATGCAAAGGTTTTATTTTAGTTTAGTTTTTTGGCTGCCATGCACGGCTTGCGGGATCTTAGTTCCCCGACCAGGAATCAAACCTGCGGCCCCTGCAGTGAAAGCACCGAGTCCTAACCCCTGGACCACCAGGGAAAGTCCCCAGATGCAAAGGTTTTAAAAGTGAAGGAAGACTGCTGTCGGGGTCTGCGTTGGCAAGGGCGCTGCCATCTGCGGCCAAGACCGCTTGCCCCTCTCACAAGAGTGAAGTCGGAGACAGCCTCGTGTCCGAGTACGGAACAAGGTCAAACACGAGGGGCCAGCCATCCGCTGGATTCCCAACAGCTGCTAAGGGTGACTCAGGACTGTTTCCTGGTGCGGAATGGGTGAGAGAGTCAGCAGTAGAAGGACCCCACTTCTAAATGCCCAGAAAAATGTCTGGAAGGAAACAGGCCATAATGTCAACCACAGGTGTCAGTAGGGGGTGGAGTCTGGGGGTGACTTTTACTCTTTTCTTTTTACCCTTTCAACTGTCTAAAAATTGAAGAATGAGCATATATTGTTTCTTTCATGGTCTTATTTTATAATGTAATTGATAAAGCAATTTTCATTTTGAAAAAAGAAAGAGAGAAAGAAGACAGAGAAAGAAATCCATAATCTGATAAGCTTTTTGGAGGCGCCTTCATTCTCCATCATGCTTATCACCTCATTATTGAGTCTATGAAACAGCAAACTAACCGGACCCCTGCTCCCTTACGTGTCATCTGTGAGGCGAGGGCAGTAGTTGCTGGTTCACCCTCCTTCCTTACTCTCAAGCAAACCCATGACCCTTCCTGAGACCACCCTGGGACCACCCTCACCTTCCTCTCCCCCCTCTCTCTCTGCTGTTCCTCAGCTTAGGGTGGGTTCAGGTCTGGGCCCACGGTGGCTGCCCAGAAGGGACAGTGTAGTGGGATGAATTGTGCGCCCACCCAAAGCTGTGTCCACATGCCAAGCTCCAGCACCTGTGAACGTGAACCTATTTGGCAAAAGGGTCTTTGTGGATGTAAGTGAAGGATGTCAAGGTGAGGAGACCATCCTGGATTGAGGGTCTAAATCCAATGACAGGTGTCCTTACAGGAGAGATGCAGAGGGAGATCTGGCAGACACACAGGGAAGAAGGCCATGTGAGGACACAGGAAGAGACTGGAGTGATGCTGCTTCAAGCCAAGGAACGGGAGCCACCGAAAGCGGACAGAGGCAGAACTGCCAACACGCTGATTTCAGGCTTCTGGCCTCTACAACTGGGGGAGAATAAATTACCACCCAGTTTGCGCTAATTTCTTACTGCAGCCCCAGGAAACAACACAGACAGACAGAGGAGCGCTGGGAGATGGGACAGCGATGAGTGTAGGGGGCCCTGGTCCCTTCCCAGCGTCCCGACCACCCCACATCTCACCCCCTTTGGGGTCCTCCATCCTCCCACTGGCCAGAACCCTGACCCAGGCAGGGCTCAAGGCTCTGGCCACGAAAGCTAGTGCTGCCGGGGCTAGGAAGGATGGTCGAAGGAAGGGAGATAGGGAAGGGAAGAGGGAGGGAGGACCAGCATGTGTTCCAGACACACAAGGCGCCTTCTCGTTCCATCCTCACTGGTCCCCCAGGAAGGACGTACAGAAGTTCACATTTCACTAAAAGGAAACAGATGCAGAGGTTAAGCAATGCCCCAGAGTTACTGCTGAAGGGTGTGGAAGGTTCAATCCAAGGTTTTTCCAAGTTCTGGGCTCTGCCCACCAGTACCCACCCCTGCTGACTTAGGCGCAGGCAGAGCGGGGATTCAATGGCGTCTGCAGGTGTCCTGGCCTGCTGCTTCCCCGCAAAGCTCGGACCCACAGCCAACCTGGCAGCGCACTTTAAAATGAGCGACCTATTTGCAAGTTGGGAGCTCACTCCGGGGTGGCCCACAAATGACAGACCGTGGGCCACCATCAGAGGAGAGCCCACCGGTCCCCTAGTGTCTGTGCCTCACTCAGGACAGTGAGAGGAGGCCCTGAAACGAGCTGGCGGCCTCGCTGTAACTGTCCCCGAGATGCTTGGTCTGCTTAAAGATACGAAACACAAAGCACATCCCGCTGGCCTCACTCACGCCAGAGCTGAGGCCTCGGCACGGAAGGCCCCACCCTCTGTTCTGCCAACGTCCAGCCAAGCCCTGCCGGGTAAGGCTGAGACGGCGCTGGGCAGGAAGTTCCTGGAAGCATCTCTGTTACCGATGCTGACAACAAAAATCACTTTCCCGCTGCTAAATTTAAGTTTCTTAAGAAAACGTCAGGCCATTACAGCTTGCAAGTTCTAAGCAAGTGTAACTAAAAGAAGCAAAACAAAACACCCCAAACCGAGACAGACGAGTGTTGCAGACACCGAGAGAGGAAAACACCACCGTGCCCAGGACGCAGCCCCGCAGACAAACGTCTCCCTGAGCGACGCCTGTGACGCACAGCTGTGGGATCACACGTGGGAAAGGCGCCCAGAGCCCTGAGAGCATCACCATCCTGACCCCCGGGAGGATGAGGGGTCGGGGGCCGCCGGGCAGTGGCAGGCGGGCCTCTCAGCCGCTGACACGCAGCGGGCGTTGGGCCTGAATCACTGCTCCTTGATCCCGGCTGTGCCCATTCGCCACAACCTCACCCCCTCTTTCTCCGTTTATAGGCAACTAGTCACCCGTGGATTTTTGTTTTCCAGGGTGTTTGTCTTTACTTTATATGTCAAACTATTTGCCACATCAATATGGTCGCCCTTTCCTCATCAATATTATTTTTACCCTCAGTCATTCAAGCCTATGCACGGTGTGTGGAGCCGACAGGGGTCGAGGCCCTGCTCACTCGTTCATTCATTCGTTCATTCATTCGTCCGCAAATGCTGACGAGCACTGGTCCAGGCACCCGGCACTCCTCCTCCGTGAACACGGCAAACTCCCTGCTTCCATCCCAGGGCAGTGAAGGCAGAGCAGACAGGAGTAAAATGCATCCCGTTGGGTGTGAGGGATGCTACGAGCAGACGGGAAGAGGTGTGTGTGAGCACATGAGAGCGTGTATATACGTGTGTGACTGTGTGTGCGTGAGTGCGTATACGTCGGTGTGTGTGTGTGAGTCACTTACCGCAGGGAATCCCTCCTTGGTGAAAGCAGCCACTGCTCTGCGGCCGGGCTGGCTAAGGCCCCGCGTTGCCCACCGTCGGGTTGCAGGGCTCACACAGGACCGTTATCCTCGGGAGCTCGGTTGGACTGACCCGAATTTCCTGAATCACAGCTTGGTCTCCCACCGGTGCTTAGTGCTGGATTATTCCACTTGGTATCCGCCAACAGTCATGTTACGCTTCCTGGGTTTTTTCCAACCCCGCTACTACTAAGCCCAACTCCCTCCTGGGTTCTTTGCCAAGGGTAAGACCCGGTCAGCTCTGGACCTTTCTTCGAGGGGCCAGTCCAGGTGGTTTTGCAGCCAGTGAGGGCCGTGCTGGGCCTGGTGTCCACCACAGGCCGCTGAGGAGCAGAGCTGTCAAGGCTTTGGCCTTGGAGTTAGCCAGAGAATTGCTTCATCCCACTAAGCCTCCGTTCCCACGTGTGCAGAATAAGGACCACAGTCCCCAGAGGAAAGGCCCAGCTGGGGCCGGCCTGTCTCAAAGCACCTGGCAGATGTCCGGGGCCGTAATCCGTCCGACATCCGTGTGTCGTCTTCACAGGACCTCAAGTGCTTCACAGATGGAGCTCCAGCCAGGGGGGTCAAGGAGGGCCTGTACCAGGAGGTGCCACTGGGTGTGAGTGCCAAAGTATGACCCGTTCAGAGCAGGGGTGTGGACACCAGGCGGAGGTGGGAGAGGGGTGGTGGAGAGGGAGCTGGGGGAGGGGCCTGGCGGCCAGGCCAGTAGAGGAGTCACGTGGGGGCAGAGCAGGCTTCTGCGCACAGTCTTAAGTCTACCCTGCTGGCCGCCGTGTGGGCCAGAACCACACAGCCTTGCGTTCCGGAGTCCCGGGGCTGCTCGACGCTCCTGGGCTCCGCACGTGCTCTTGCCGCTTCCCCCACCGGCCTGTGGATGAGAAGCCATGCCTGTCTCCCCACAGGCTTGGGAAGAAATGGATTAGATTTTTCTCAGTAAACTTAGACTTTTCTCCAAAAAAAGGAAACAATGTATCAGAGAAATCACCGGAGTTCCAGCTGAGACCATCGCCACAGTCTCATGAGCTGAGAGGGGTCAGCTTTGGTCGGTGAGCATCTCCCCTTCCCCGGGGGAGTCCAGAAACTTCCGAGCCTGCAGACCCCAGGCCAGCCCCGCACCCCACGGAACAGAAGATGCCCCACAGACGCACAGAACCAGGACCCCTCTCCTGATGCAGCCCAGGCCTCGGTGCTGTTTGGGTTCAGGGCCCTCACGCAGCCTTGGGACTGGAGTGGCCCTGGGTCAGGCCCACCTGGACCACCCTAGTCAAGCAGTGCATTTGAAGAAACAGGGGAGACCCCTGACCCATCAGCAAGGGGATGAAAGAGGAAGCCAGGACACCAAGCAAAGGCTGCTTCTGATCAAAGAAAGTGAAAAAAACAGCCCCTAACACACAAAGAGCGCTGTCCATTAAGAACTCAGTTTACTGACCCACAATTTCCTGTGATCTAAGACAGTTCAGCCTGTGGTATCTCATTTTCTGACGCGGGTCCTCACGGTCCGGGCAGGCAGCTCACATCATCGACCTCCACGCTCCACCCTGACGCCCCCATTGGTGTGTGGCGCCCCCATTGGTGTGTGGGTCCTTCCTCCCTACAGCGTCAGCGACGCTCAAGGCTGAACAGTCCTTTGCCTTCTTTACCTGCACCGTCTCCACCTTACAGTTCAGATTCTCTGTGGACCCCGTGTGTGGTCATTCTATCCCGATTTGGATTGGTTTCGGCTTCCTGGCCTTGGTGTCAATGCTTCACAGCGGTCTTTGATGCCATAACCTTTAT